AAACAGATGAAGAGCCCGATGAATGGATTTTTTCCTTCATGGGAACAATTACCTAGAAAATCAATTTTCCACGAAAAAAACCCCCTCGATTGCGGCCAAGCCATATTTCTCCAGCAGGGCATACTGTAAATTAAGAACATCGGTCACAGCGTCACGCAACATTGCGTGATTTTCCAAACGTGATATGCAGTTGCTGCATTATTTTAAAACTTAGAAACTACATGGCCCTGTAGTAATAAAAGAGGACTTCATTTGCGAGCACTGTAGACTTCAACATAAGAAGAACCTAATAAATCACTCTTTCACTTTTTCTCTCAGTGAATAAATTATTTTGCCAGAACGAAAACAAATTAATATACACATGGGTTGGAGCCATTCCTGTCAGCGGTGAAATACAGGAATGGCTCCAGTCTTTGGTCGTCCGCCTAAACTGACTAAATGAGTTTTATCAGCGGAGCTTGGCAGCGACTTTTTTTTTATCGCCGGCATATCGCTGAACGACCTCGCTGAGCAAGATAGACTCTACCTTCCCTTCATTATGTAAGTAGCCATTTCTTGTTTGACACATCGGCGTTTCCACATTGATATTTCATTGTTCCGCTTCGAGACACGCGGTTAACAATACTCACGAGCAAGGAGTTAAGATATGACTTATTAACTTTTACTATTTTTATCATCCAATTACAGTTCGAAGCCATTCCTGTATTTACTCGCTAGTTTCACAAGCAGTTTGCACCATTAGAGTTTAGTTCTTCAGTCTCACGGTAGAAGCGTTGTTCAATAGATTGCATAGAATACATGCAGTTTGGTTTCAGATTTCAGATTTTCCTTTTTTTGTACGTTTTTCAACTAAAACAATGGCATACTTGGCATACAAGGCATACAAGGCTTCCATGGCCTTCAAGCGTTCGCGACTCAATCCGTTCCAAAAATACCGCTCAATAACATCTGTTAGTGTGGATTGGCCGCGAGCAATACGACTTGTGTATGCGTCTATAAAGCTCCAGGTAATCGTAACCCAAAAACTTGGAACCTCCATGGCCAGAACAACAACCCCAGAACAAGTACAAGAGAGCCAACAAAAGAATTTTAAGGGCAAAAATTTCGTGGTTCGTCGTGTGACCCGGCCCTGTCCGTGCATGACAACGTCAATCATCATCAAGATAACACACGCGATCAGCACGTGAACACCTTCACCCTCATTGGATCACAGTTAGTTGCCATGGTGTTGAGGGTCCAATGACCACTGGTTACTGTTGCGCAATTTTTCCATTTTGTGGCGGAGGAAAAAAAGACGACAAAAAACAAAGGCGTTTTATGACTGGGCTACCACAGGTATCCCAGTAATAAACCAAAAAAATGCGTTTTACTTGAACGCTCTTAATGAATGTTGTACGAATTAGTGAATTCGCAGATACAGCAAAATGGAGCTAATTTCTAGAAAACAACACAAAACCAACATTCACCTCAACTGTAACCCTTACATCTGCGAAAAAACAGCGTCTCCTGAAATTTAGGCTAGAAATCGATCTTAACTTCCTCGAAAACGCGAACGCTCTAATCGAAGATCAGCCGCCATGTTACTACTCTTTGATTGAATATCTTGAAACTCTGCTGGGGGTCTCGAACCAAGATAAAACCCAGGCCTTAAACTACTTAAAGACATTGCCTGTGTCTTTCCCAAGCTGACGATTGATGAGATTACATCGTCGGCGTCTTCGGAAACTGAAAGCTCGTAGGCAAACCATTAGGGCCAACAGAAACAACCAAAAGCGGCACACTGCTTTCCTTTCTTTTAGTAGGAGAGTTAGCTTTATCGAGATTTAGGCTACCGAGTACGACAACGAAACAATCTCTCTCATTCAGGATATTCTTTCAAACAAACCATGGATCCGGTCGTTGCATCCATTCTGAAAGATGCCATCGGTTTTTTTGTCAAACAAGGCCGACGTCATGTGGCGAATAAACTGAAAGATGGCGATGTGATGGAACAGAAACTACACAGCTGGGTCTCAGACTCAATATATAACATCAGTTTGAAGTTGGATGCGGTAGCAAAGAGCGATCTTGTAGCAAGTTTAACTAACCTCAAAAACGGATTAAAAATCCTAGTCACGTTACTGGTTAAAGATCAAAGCCGCGATGACAGCACAGAAACATTGGACGAAGGCGGTGAAGCGGAAGGAAGTCTTCGATCCGACCCTCACACAACGGTAGCTTATTTAAGTTGCATCACTTCAATTTTAATTGGGGAAATGAAAGACCTACAGATTTCTGATCTTGAAGAGTCAAATAAAAAAACACTGTCTCAGGCGAGGAAATATTTCACTAAAGCTCGTGAGGAAGCCACCAAAGCCTCCGGAAACGACACTCTACACCTTCCAGAACGTGTTCTTGCTATGAACGTTCGTTTGACGGCGGCAATTCTGGAAAATGATGTAGATCTTTCAATTGTATCGCCAACATGTCTATCGTGCCTTGAAGATCTTCATGGCATGCCGGAAGTTAGGCAAAATTTCTCTGTAGCATTGGAGGGAGGTACAAAGGCAAAACTCTTAAAGGAAGAACGTAGGCAGATTATTTCCGCAGTCTGTCGAATAAATCGTCTAGCCTATGATGTCACGAAAATTTTGGGCGGAGGAAGACTCTTACTATTGCCTTGCATTAAAGTTGGAGACAAGGAAATAGATCCTCTTCGTGACTCAAGAGTGGCGGGAACACTAAGTAAACAGGATATGGACTACTGCTGTTTGACACGGTCCTTTGGCCAACAAGAAGACGAGGAGCAACGAAATCTCAAATCAGCAACTGGAATTGCTACAAACTCGTTGGGACAGTTATTAGTGATCGACGAGGTGGATGGTTTCATTAAACTTTTTGACACAACTGGAAGATTTTTGTCCTCTTTCAGTGTTCCTCCGCAAAAACGTGCTGTCGGCAAACCAAAGCTAAAGAGCATAGATACCGACAGAAATGACTGTATTTATGTGCTGCAAGTGACAATGAAAAAATCTAAAGATTTTATTAATGAAATATTTGTTTTTGAGAAGCCAGAGAGCGAGAGTTCTCAAAGCATAGTTCTCTGTAAATCGGTGGAAAAAGCAAAAATCTTAAGAGTTATGCATGATCAGAAGCTGCTTCTTTTAGGCGTAGAAACCGATTTAGTCGACTCTCCTAGTGAAAGTTTGATAGAGTCGCAGTACCTTGTACATAAATTTAAGGTGTTTAATGAGAGTGGAGCTAATAGGGCTAAAAAAGAGGAAATCTTGATAGGAGCGAAAAACCTTGTTGATATGCTAATCACCAGTGATAACGACGCTGTGATACTTGACTCAGACGTTGTTTACATGATCAAAGATTGCAAGTCTAAATCTAATTTGGACAAAGAAGAAACTAAGAAGTTGTTCGAAGTAAATAATGCTCGTGCCATAGCTTACGATGATAACAGTAAAAAATTCATCATTGTCTCACATTCGAAGGATGCTAAAATTCCCTCACAAGTGCAGATTTACAACAACGCTGGCAAGTTTGATCGCAGCATTCATTTTGAGGTGGAGAAGGAGTACGGCATTGAAGGAGTTTCAGTGAAAAAGGATGGAGTTATCTGTATCAGTGCACATTTAAAAGATCCACCTAAAGGTAAAGTGATTGTGCTCTAATTACAGTCAAACCCTTTTCTCACGCAACCTCCTTAACTTACTTAACTATTTAAAGGATTTTGACCGCAATGAGCTTTTTCAATTCAAATTGGATGCATACCTGCGGCTAACAACACAGGCCAAAAGCTCACGCTTGAACGCTTCCAAGCGTCTTGTCCACAGTAAATATGTGATAAAAATTTTGAGAATTTGATTGCTGAAGAGTGTGAAATTAAAGTGATTCTACTACACAGGAGTACTTGCCTGAATGGTTTAAGCAATGATTCATGAGATGTCTTCGATCGTCTACTCCCTTGTGTTAGTGTTCACTGAAAGTAGTGGTCTTGTGTTTTGTTACTCTGCTGTTGAATGCATTCTTATAATTATTGCTTCTTTATTTGTTTTCATGCTTGTTAACGTATTTAATGAACAAATTACGACTTTTGAAAATATACCTCCCATAAGGAGAGAAGTCGTTTTCCACTGAGATGGAAATTATTTTTACTGAGCTGTTGCTCTCTGAAAGGATGAAATAAGCGATCAAAAACATGAGGAAATCCCTCTTTCAAGTGATAGTTTGTTTGAGAAAAATCCAAAAGTCTCTGAGTAGTAACTCCTCGAAGAATCTTGTCAGGAAAAGCAAGATCACGGGAATTCCGATAGAAACTATGGAAATATCATCTGTTGTGCATCGCTCCTTAAGGGACCAATTCAAGTTGTATCACTCATTATCACAGAAAAAAGGGTTCAGTTTTGAGCCGATTATTAACGCTGATTCGTTCGCATTCATCACAACAAAGAAGCAATGTAGGTGATTCGGCACTTTAATGTACCACAATATTTAATGATCAAGCACGCCATTTCAATCTCCTGAGGTTTTTAAGTTTTTAGTACGATTTTTTACCAGAAAAACGACAAAACAAAACAAAAGCATGAAAACGCTAGAAAGAGATCAAATATAACACACGCAAAAAAAAACTGGTACGCAAAACGGCTTAGTTTGAGTTAGTACCTGAAGGGAAGTAAAAATCGTTCTGAGTTTGCGGGGTTTCGAGTTATCGGGGTTGCGAGTTATCGGGGTTGAAATTACATTTAATATTTGAGGCAAATCCAAGGGACATCAGTTTTGCTTCGAGTTTGAGGGGAATTAGAGTTATCGGGGTTCAGCTATACATTTAAAATACAAGAGAATTTACAAAATACAGAATGCTACAAGCCTGCTGTAAGTCGTCTGGGGTATCGTTCAAAACTTAACCAATGATACCAATAGTACAAAACGTTTTAATACTTCACAAAGAAACAAACTACACAAACTAGCATCAAAGAAAATAAACAATTGACAAATGTTTTTCTCTTTTGTTATTAATCCATCATGCTTTGGTTCGGGGGAACTGGGCTCGAAACTGCATTGTCAGCGGGCCCGTGAGCGACCTGGCCAGCGGCAGCATGAGGTAAGGGGGCGTTACTGGGGGTACTCGGGGCTGATGCAGGGGAGGCAGCATTCGATCCCATGAATGACACCGGGGTACTGCATCCAGAATGAGGATGGGAGCCCATCTGAGGAACAGAGCCAGGATTCATTACTGGAGCTGGTGAGGCAGAGGCGGACGGTGGATTGGATCCGCCAGGCTGACTGTTACCTGCAACTAAAAAAAATTCTCCTTACAGCAAGATTTCTTTTGTCTTGTCATGATCATGGGAAAACGAAAACAAATTCTGATTTTACGATCCGATGCTTAAACACTGAGCTATTGAGACAGGATTCGTACCCTTTTTCAGACACAAATTTCAAAGACCTTTCCACGACTCAGATTAATTTTTCCAGAACTCCAAATTTCACCTTACACCCTTTCATAACCGATATTTCAAAATCAGTTCTCCTTGCAGTCAACAAATATTTCTTATAACGCAAATTCTGAAAAATTTTATTTCTCGAGTTAAGCAGATTTCTAGGACTTTCCAGGGCCTGTAGTCTTTTCCCAGGACTTTCCATTCCTGGAAAAATTCAAAATAAAATTCCAGGACTTTCCAGATTTTCCAAGGCCTCTATGAAGCCTGTAGATAATAGAGTGAGTTGAGCCATTAAAAGTTTTTTCAGAATATGTATTTGAAAATACATTCCTGACATTTTGCTCTAAGAAAACAGATTTCTTGCATCATATTTCACCAATTACGTTTGATCTTTTCACAAACTTTCCAAAAAAATCTATTTATTCAACACGTTTTGCAACAAATTACAAAGTTCTCAGACAAACTTTCATTTCAAGCAACACATACCCTTGTCGGTTCAAACGTACCCACGTTAGCTCAAACGAACCCTCAAAGACTTGCGTTTTGATCTAAAATATATCCTGTAGCTAATAACGGTTTGAAATTACACTCTTATCCTCTTAAGGTTTTACCAGCATAACTCTAAGCTTTGTGCACCCAGGGATAAACCACCCTTCGTAATCTTTCCATGATGTGACGTTATCACAGGATTCCTTACAAGGTGCTTATCTTCCAAAACTAAACCAAAATTTCAAGCGAAAGCATCTAAGCTTGGAAATGGGATGGATAAAAGAGTAGAACGTACTGAAGTTTTATTTCATTTAATTCCATTTCTGTTCTCAAACGAGATTTCTTTTCCCCCAAGATTTACTAACCCGCTCCCTCTTTTTTTCTGTGAGTTTCCTACCTTGTGACGCGGGGCTGGCGACTTGTGGCGCTTGGCTGGTGGCACCTGGATGAGGAGCCGTGGGCGGGGCTTGCTGGGAATGCCTAAGCTTTGGCTGTTGATGTGCCTGTGCCTGCTGCTGCTGTTGTTGTTGTTGCTGTTGTTGCTGCTGTGGTGGGATCTGCAGCTGAGGTTGAGATGTTTGTGGTTGTGGTTGCAGTTGCGCAGGAGAGGCAGCTGACGGGGAGAGGTGACCGGCAGAAGCTCGAGCGCGCAGCTCGGCGGCCTTCAGTTGTTCTTGATGGAATTGTTGTCGTTCAGCGAGTAGCTGTTGACGCTGATATTCCAACTAGCGAGAAAATATTACATGAAGAGTGGTTAGTAAGAGCCGCAGGCACACTGAGTCGAACAAGAGGAGCTGTGCCTGTCCATGAAACAGGAGCACGCTCTGCTTGCGGACTGTTTCGTTAGGAACATGTCTCTAATCAGTTGAATCCTTTTCCTATGTCAATACGAGCAGGCCCTTATTTCTAGCACTTCAGCATCAGCGCTTCTTCCCTCACGAGAAGTGTGGGACCTTTAGCAAATCACGACGGCGACGGCAACGAGGACGTGGTAAAATAAAAGAACTAATGAGCAGAATAGCTCAGAACACGCGTTTTAAAACAGCGTATATTTCTTCGCCGTCCTCTGAAAAATAACAACGTGAAATCATCGAAATTTTCGTAGTCCGAGAACGGAAACCCCGACGGCAATTTATTTAAGTTTCCATTTGGAACTCAGCGCCGCGCTCAGACGTTATACTGAGGTTAACTTGCGGCGCCGTAAGAGATGATAAACACATACAGTCGTTCACCGTCGAGATTCCAACTGTAACTATATGTTCATTTTTAAATTGACGTCTTCCTTAGCGTTGCCTTCCTAACTGCTAGAGATCCTTAGTAGAAGGCCGTGAGAAACGCGAGCCGGCAAAATTTGTGCTACGGGACTAGCACTAACCCGGCAAAACTCTCCCCAAACCAAAAAAAAAAAAGGTTGAAAGATGAAGGGAAAAATCACGAGCAAAATATATCAACAGATCCAATTCTTTCATTTGTTATTAGAACATGTTTATCATAATTACGCGGGAAGCCCATTCGCAGACAATTAAACAAAATAAGAAAACGTAACATCGAAACTGAAAAAAAGAACAACAACAACCCAGGAATGAGGAGTGCTCAGTTAACCCTAACATCATTACCAATATTCTCCAAACGGTACACTATATATTTCCAAGGATACTGACAAGGAGAATTTGTTTAACAATCAGGAGCTTCTTTCACTAGTGATCGTTTCCTCTATTGTCGTGACCTTAACGTGTGATTGGGGAGGCATTGTCTGAAGAAATTAGACGCTGGTCACTCGAAGGAGTCAAGGGTTTAGGAGACTTACTAAACTAAATAATAGATTGCATTTTTGAATTTGATTGCTGAAGACAATACGTTGTCCCTTTTTTGTACTCAACCCTTTTTGCAAATGATTAATGGTAGATACAGAGGAATGGTTTTCAAAATAATCTCCTTATTGAATTAACTTTAACAATTAAAAAACAGCTTTACCGCTTCTCGTTCACGGTCCATGATGGTTTCAAGTTCTTCAAAGTGGCGCAGTTTAATTTCCAGTTTCTTCATCTGAGTCTCCACAAGAAGCGCTACAAGACTCTTAATCTTCCGCTCCTCAACCTGCGCCAGATGCTATCGGAGAAGCAACCGCGACAGAAACAGATTAGACGAACAAACAGCAATAATTCCAAATATTAATCATATCATACAGAAGAAAACGGTGAGCACAAAGGTGATTTAATACAACATGGCAGAATATTTTGACAAAACTCGAGGTGTTAGGAAATCCTATGAAATAGTCTGTCATTGTGAGGAAACAGAGCCATTAGCGGGATGAGGTCATCGACATCTCAACGAACTAAAAGTCGTCTCAAACACTGATCACGGCTTACTTAGTGTGCACGTAATCGAAAACCACTTTGTAGCTACATTATATCATAATAACCCCTACTGTTGCAGCAATAACTCGAGAAAAATAAACCAACTAAATTAGAGAAAACAAACGAAGGCATCGAATGAACTAAACGGGACCAGAGCTTAGGACCAAAGAAGGCTAAGATGAGAAAATAGTTCGATGACATTCTTGCTCGTTTCCTGTATTCGGATTGGTTAGTGTTGTGTTAGTAACCTCGGTAACAGTAGCCACACTGTAGGCTATATAAGCTGTATTCGTTCTTGTCACTGAATTTATGATGTAGAGTTTGATTATCAAAGGACAGGGTCCATCTTGATTGGAGTCAAAAGAGGAAATTTGTCGATTGTTTAAGAACAGGTCGGTGTGATTTAAAGCTGTGCACTCAAAAGCATTATGGGCATCCTGAAACCCGATCTTGTCTCAGAAATCTGAGGTGCCTTGCTTTCAGACGCCTACTTAAAGGAAACGTTTGGCATGTTGCCTACAAACTAAAGTTGGCCGCCTTATCGACTGTGCCGATCAGAATAGAGAGCACCTATGATCGTTCCTCAGTTTCATGTACCTTTGCTTTGACTGCAGCGGCTGCTAGAGCTGAAGCCGCCGCCTTCGCAATGTTTTCTTCGTTTATAGCCGGTGTTTTCTCGCCGTTCTGCGCTTGGCTACTTGGCTCGGAAGACTCTTCCGCCTGAGATGAGAAACATAAAGATTGACAAAAATTGTTTACAACATCGTAAATACCAATTGTAAAGACAGAGGTCAGAGGACAACTACAGACCGAGATAAACTTGCTGATGCTGAGAAGGACATCCTCAAACAGGGCGAACCACCTCATGGATTCCTCGAGGATATTATCCATTCGTTATAAATTGTTCAATCAAAATTGAAACAGTTTTTTTTTTCGTTGAGATTCTCAGCGCAAGTACATTGTATTGACTAGGTAAGGGTACGGCGAAAGGGTAAACAAGCAATCAAACAAACCAAACAGGCAAACAAACGGACGAACAGTTTCCCCGCTTTTCATATTTAAGGAGACAAACGAAACAACAACAACAACAACGAAGATACGGAAAAAGTCAAAAGGCTTCAAAAACGTTCCCAGATAAGCGATAACTACAAGAAAAATATATTTAAAATTCAACTTCATGTAACTCTGACCTTTGCATCTTGAGCTCGTGTCTCTCCTCCCTCGGGGACAGTTCCCTGGCTTCCATTCACTTCCATAGGTTGTGGTGTTTCTTCTGAATAACACAAGGAAAATTAAAGGATTTGTGTACAGCTGCACGATCAGTTTTGCTATGCAGTGTGATGTGTAAGAGAAAAGTCAAATTTTCGACGTGTAAGCTCAAATACCTAACCACACATTGAAAACAGTCCATGCTACCTTTGCTTTCGTCCGAGTTTTCTTGCTTCACTTTCTCCGCTCGTGCATTTGCAGCATTCTTAACATGGCTGTCAATAACTGACTGCGGTATCTCGTCCTTCATCTCAGAGAACTTCTCTGTTGACAAAAAGAATTGTGTTTCAAATTTAATGTTCGACCATCGTCGCGGAAGGTTTTGCAATGACAAGCAATGATATCCACCCTTGCGTGACAATCACTTACAAAAATACACACCGCAAAAGAATGCAGAAACGTTAAAGAAAAGTCAAATACTTATCTCATATCTGTTAATTTGGCCAAAATAACAGACTAAATTGAACAGCTACCCACCTAGAGCAGCTTTAGCAGCAGCGCTGGCGACCCGAGGATCCACAACAGAAGCAAGAAAAGCTACAGTAGACATGATAGGGTTACCCTGCTGACTGAACGGCGTGGGCTGGTGTGATAAGGGACCTAAAAAAATGAGAACCACAATGAATAGGGGTGAATTAAACTGAGTTTACACCCACATCGTCAACATTTGCACTATTACACCTAACATCAAAGTGATGCTTGAGCATCTCCGTCGTTCAACGAACTTTAGGGAAGCAGTCGAAAGCACCAGCATAACACAGAAAGTTTGAACAAAACCAAAAAGCGAGGGATATTATAAACACCTCCAATTAAGTAACCAATATCTAATTTATAATGCAATATCCTTCTCGAAATTCCACGCAATCTCAACCTGTAAATGTTTTCCAGTGGCAGTGTCAAAGTGTCAGGTTCTGAGAATGAATTAACACTGTCCCATAATTTGCTATCTGCTAGATAGCGATTTATCCACCAAGTCCACTGGCCAGATGGTGAATATTAGAGCGCATTTCGACTGCATGTCATAAAAAACCAAACCCAAAGTTATCGCAACAGCCAATCAATCAGAGGAAAGAAAAACCAGTATCGCAAGGAGTCCATGAGAAGTCAGACTAAAACCGGGCAAACTGCTTGATGCGCAGGAAAACGCGATTGACCGAGTCGCGCTTGGTTCTAGTTTTGAATGTGATTAGTTGAGAAAGTAACGCGAGTTTTCTGCACCAATCACAGAGCCATTAATTATCATAACTGTTTGCATCTAGACTCTTACCCAACTGTACATCCTCAAGGTACGGGTCTTCTATCGGAAGCCTAAGGAAATGCAAGATACATTCATCTTGAGTTCGTGTTCCGACATGTTCAGCCACCTTGTTCCAGTCGTCTTTGAACATTTCCAGGCCCTGAAAAGGATACATCATCAAAATATAGCTTTATATGCACTTTTCTTTGAAACTGACTCTGGTACAGCTTCTAGGGTTAGCGAATGTACAAGCTCCGTAGCCCGTTCGATTGGACTGATGATACCCAAGCGACTTTACAATACCTGCGCGCGTCCTGAATAAATCTGCGGGGCAACAGTAAATTTTTCGGATCGTTGAGAGGATTGAAGCACGAGAACATCTTCATATACAGTTTGTATAAATAATAAATCACGACATATAACACATTTCTGAAATATTTTCAACCGCTAAAGTCTTCGAGAGGATTCACAATACCACAAAGACAAAAAAAAAAGGCTCCCGAAACCTGTGATGTTCTATATCGGTGGGAAGGAGTTAACAAGCTAACATTTCATGGACATGTGAAAGTACCTCTAAAAGGAGGAGTGTCTCTTGTTCCGTCCACTCCTTTGTGGCTGTTGCAGCCTGCATGATAATCACAAAAAAAGACAAATTGCAACGCTGTAGACACAATAACTGAGTAAGCAAACTTACAGAAGCAGTCATAGTGTGTTACACTTTGACAGGAATACATTCTGGGCAAAACCTGAACTCTACGCGAGAACACTGGGTCTTAACCTTTCCCCGCCCCTCCACCCTCGTTTTTATATGCCCAGTGAGGAAGTCAGCCCACGTTAGACAAAACGGTGAAAAAGATAGCAATTGTAGCTCTATAGCAGGACACAGTAAAATCAACATTTCCTAAACAAGGATTAGACAAATTGATCTCCTTGTCATAAAAGCAAACTCTGCCATTTTACCTTTTGGCTCTTTTTAGATAGGTACTGGTCTGAACGAAGGCTGAAAGACGAAGGAAAAACATCAAACAAGTCAACAAAGTGCATGATGCCCGCTACGACAGATCTTGATGTAATGATAATTATTCAATTTATGACCATGATTTAGCCTGTGTGGCAGTCTTTTGAAATAAGAGGGAGCCGCCCAAACGCATAATAAGGAGAAAATTACGGGGAGTGGGGAGATTTGTTTGTTTGTTTGTTTTTGTTTTGCCTCTCCTCGTGCCATATCTTCACGTGAGTGGAAACGATTTCTTCGCAGGCTAACCACGGATATGATTGTTATGTCTCTGCTGTAAGCCAAGCCATAACAAATAAGTTAATCTTCGGTATCTTACCCAAAGTTTGCTCCTGTCACACCGCTCTTATAAGTCTCTTTTCCTCCCAGGTCATCTTTGAATTGGATGATTTGTTGGGAGGCAGGAATCTGGGGAAAATCGAGCAGATAGGGTACAGTTAGGAGAATATCAAGGTAGGAAACTGAAATGCTCACATAGGTCATGTTCCCAGGGTAACCTTTAAAAGCTAACTGGTCTCCGTAAGATCACATTCCCCTTAGTATCGCCCAAAAAGGCGTTGGATAGTGTTTTAAATCAGATTAAATATTGTATACGTATAATCCGATGAAATCTGCCCTGATTTGGTTTCTTCTTCATTTTGAAAACGTGTTTCTCAATCGAGAAAAAAGGAAAGGCGTACACAGAGAAAACTGGTTCATTCGATGGGCATTTAAGTATCAACAGTGAGAGCAGACTCTCTCCACAAAGCAATCACTTTCTAAATTTTGTCCTCCCCTCAGGTGCATCCCTTTAATAAAGTTCCGAGAAACGCTCGGCAAAAAAGAAGCCCGATCACTTTATCGTTTTCATCTGCTGCCTATGGATGATTTTTTGTTGCTACCTGTGCTTTCGCAGGTTGCAAAGGCTGTAAACCCGCAGGAGTATCTGCTAACACATGGAAGTGAGATGTAGAGGGTGGCCCCATAGGCGCCGGACGGCCATCTGCGTCTACTTGATAATTGATCAGACCCCACTGCTCCAAGAAGGCATGGATCCTGGAATAAGAGGAAAGCACGTGTCAACCCTAATCCGTGTAATAGGAAGCCCAGGCTTCACGAACAGTAACGATACATATTAAACGGTGAGTCGGTAGGTCACACGTGGGAAGGGGGTATGGCTGGCGCAAGTAGAGCTGGCCGGGATGGAACAATATTGAGAGGGGGTCACCTCTCATCTTTGTGATCCAGGTTCAATTCTAGGCCCTAGAGTCACATATGGGTTGACTCTGTAACTGGTTCTCATTCATTGCTCTGAGGATATATCTCCGGGTTCCCACTACAAATCAAACACTCCAAATTTCAACTTGAAATGGAGGTATTGAACGAGAGAAGCACTCAATGGATGCGCTTCTGAGAACCTCAAACGTATTTCATTTCAGTCAACATGATTCAAGAGAGACTGGATGGTCCTGACGAACAAAGATATCAGTTCTTACTTACCTCACAATCGCACACACATCACCGCATAGATTCCGCCGGCAAGCTGTAGCAGTCAGATATTCCGTTGGATTCAGTCGATAAGCATCGAGCATAAAGTTTCGGCAAGCCAGATACCTTTAAAGAAGGAAACGACAGACTTACAAGGAGAACATTGATACGAGAATCATATACACTCTTCATTCCACTCTGGAGAGTTATCCCTAAAAGTTTGTCAAATTTCACGCCCTTTCATTAACAACAACCATTTCAAGATTAACCTTACCCAAGCAACAACACCGCCGAATCAGTTGCAACTCCCGGGTTCAAACTGTTCGCTATCTAACATTAATTTGTCATCACATGCAGTTCGAAAGTATCTACGCATGTTTTCAAAATTTTCGCCAGCATAAAACAAAAACTTTTCAGAATTAATAAACTAAGTTCTTTCTTACAAAATGCTACATTCAAGAATAAATAAATCCTCAAAACTGAAACACGGTAGTTTCAGAGGCGGGCCCATCGCAAATCTCGTGTACAAATACCCTTTTTGTAAAGTGCGAATAACGGAATTAAAGTACAACACAGCTGTGATTTTTTACGACGAACAAAACTTTTGTCTTTTGTTTTGTCAATTTCACAATTTAAATTTAAGAATGTTGAGTTGAAGTAAATTTTTCAGATGCAGAAGCCTTGATGTGGCTCTGTTGAAAAAATTCAAAACACGCAAAAGAACTGGCCCAGACTGGTCTCCCTTCTTTAGGTTAGTCTGTCAAGTGAGGTAAAACGCAGAAAACGCAAAAAAACTGGGAAGGAAATGCTGCCCTTGCCCATAAACTTGGATAGCGATAGATTTTTGAAACTACGAAATACAAAAATTGAAACAAAGTAATGAAAAAGGAATGGGGTGACTGAGAATCTTTCTTATATTACGTTTACATGCACACTTTAATCGAAACGTTGACGAATTCTCCCCGCTCAGTTACTCACACTTCAGGAGACTTGGATTTGTTCTTTCCGTTAAAAAACTCCGGCAAAGCTCTTCTCTCAATGGCGTGGACACTGTACAGAAAAAGAAGTACATAACAAAAAAATAATCGCATTTATTTGAAAAAAGTAAGTTTCAAGCACCACACAGTAACTGGGTTCCAGCCATCGATTCACTTGCTCTATAATTTTCACCCGTGCATTTCTAGAAGCACTCGTCGCTCTCAAGTACGCGCAGTTGTACCTCAGTAGATGCAGCGGCGGTATTCTAATAGGTCTCGACAAATGCATCTGTACTGCTTCAACGCACCACAGCTGTCTCTTCATACATGTAAAAAAACCCTGACCCGACTTTATTTCACTCGGTTCGTCTCGATAAATTGCTCGGCATCGTCCAACAATAGTCAACTCAAGTGGACTAAGCTGCCTTGATCACAAATAACAGTTCAGCATAAAAATATGAGTTCAGGAAAAGAGTAAAAAAACAGGTTAATTCATTTTCATACCTGTTGTAGTCAAACCAAGAGGCGTAACTGGGTATGATGATGTGATGCGTCTGCTCTGTAAGGTTCTCATCGTGAGCTTCTGTGTCTTGCAGGACAAGCGGTTCTTTGAAGATTCCATCTTTCGTCTGGCTGGATGAAGGCGAGGCAGGCGCAGACTGCTCTGTACTGTCTTCGGGTTGATCCTTAACAGTTAGAAGGTAAATTAAATATAAAAGGGGCATTTCAAATGACAATATCTAACTTCCTACAAGATATCAAGAGACTTTGAGCAGCTTTACAATAGAATATAACGTGTTCCTTTGCCAGGGTTACCTGCGGAGAAAGCGTCCTTTCTTTGATGTTTTTAAGATGGAGCGTAGAGGGCGGTATGGCGGCAAGACGAGGAAAGAAATCACGCACGTTTTACTCATGCTTCCTCGCAGTTGCCTCGCACTCGTCACGCGAAAAAAAGAAAGGCGCTTTTCTCGTGAGCTACCCAAGCCCGTGAGGGGCAAACATCAACCAAAATGGAAATAAGATGATAGTGGATGAAGACGATGGACAAGGGTTGCACATGACGAACTTGAGGATTTTAAGTAATTACTAAAGCAAAGCCCTTTCTTTAGAGACCCACCTACATGTACTAGGCAAAACCTGATAGAAAGAAAAGCTGAAAGAAGTATCATCATACTTGTGTATCCGCTTGACTTTCGGTCTCCATTTCTTCCACATCGGCACCCTCTGGCTTTCCTGGTCATGAAGACGAAGGGTAAAAATTTATTTTCAATTTTACAGCAGTAAAAGATAGCTGCATAAAGTGAGTAAGCACTGGGAACGTCAATACAGAAGGGCGGGAAAAGTCTTTGTTATAAGCCCCTTTTTAAGTTCTAAGATCGAAAGCTTCTTTAGTCTAAAATTCAAGATTAAGTGACTGGAATCATTATTGATATCATGTATGAATTAACCCAAATATACTAAGCAATTGTTTATTTTGCTGACAAGTCTACCAAAGGAAATGACAAATTTTACAAGGGCAAATAAAACGCATTTTTCTAGCGTTTTACCGCGTAATAACATACTTGGGGTGTTGAGAGAACACGAAAAAACGTGAAAAGCGCGGTCTACCGCGTAAATACACTGGAAATGGATAATTGCCTTAGGATGGGTTCATGTATACAGGGGGGGGGGGTTGGGTGAAGGTACACAGTACATGAGGGATGGAGAACGACGAGATCTTTATTGGTACCAGTGTCTAACCTGAATCTGAAATGTCCGTCAATGAATTTCCTTTCAAAGGTTGTAGATCAGCTTCTTTTCCCTTGGAGCCTACGAAAGTACAGATGTTCAGTGTAAGTGAACATTAATTACATTTCAATGTTTTTAAATCTACGTTTTCTAATATTTTATTTGTTTAGCTGACGAACTGTTTTCCTCTCTCATGTCAACATTATAATCCTGGTTACATGACAATCAGTATGATACGTAACCTTGTTACGTTGTTTGTGTTCTTACCTGAGGTACTCGAAGCAGAGACTTCTTCAACCTATAAACAAGAAAAAAACGTCAGTACCGCTCAAAAGTGAGTTGACAGTCTCTTAAAACTCGATTCTCGATTCTCTATTCTCGATCCTCGAAGTTTTCGAGGATCGAGGATCAAGGATTGAGTCGAGTATCGAGACGCTTGAGTAAGGTTTTGAGACACTTGAATCGAGTTTCGAGACGCTCGATTTAAGTTTTGAGACGTTCGAGTCGAGTATCGAGACGTTCGAGTCGAGTATCGAGACGCTCGAGTCGAGTATCTAGACGCTCGAGTCGAGTCGAGTTTTGTGAACTTACTTTAACTTGAAACACAGGTAAGACAGTGTAGATAACCACTTACATTGGGAATGGGTGATGGATCAGGAAGATCTTTAGTAGCATCGTCACTAAAATAAACGAAGAAAACCGTTAGATGGCCCACACTTGACAGTACGATGCTCAAATTGTTAGCTTCATTTACATATACATTCCAAATGAAATCAATCTGTGCAGTACCTGTCATTTTCCTCCTCTTTTCCAGATTTTTTCTTCGGATTTGCTGGTCCCACTCTATCAAGAAAATATATTCTTCCGCATTATTCAATTTTTGGATCACTTTAAAATACTGTTTCATATTCAAAAGAAATGAAATCTGAAGAGAAAAGTTTCTGATATGTTTCCGACTGTATTATTTCAAGAGGCACCCAAAGTCCCTCAGGTTTCCTCTCAGAAATCTAATATGTCCTGGTCTTAAAAGTTTTCATAAAAGTGAATTTAGGAAAGCCACCCAAATACAAAAGTAAGTAGCCTGTGGCTCCTGAGCTCAGCTAAAGCCCAAGCTTGGTATACCTGTATCAGAAAGTGACATTATCCTTATTTAGTACATCAAAGTTAACATTCTGAAATTAAAGTTGACTTACATTTTCTTTTTCTTCTTTAGATCAGGTGATGGGGATCTCTTTCTTTTCTTAGATTTCCCTTTAAATAAAGAGTCAGGTTTAGCAGTGTAAAAAAACATGTAGGTGTATGTAATCTTTGAAAAATGGATTATTCTTACAAGTGGGTTTATTAACTGCCCTCACATAACCTGTAAAAAGAATTAATTTGTTTCTTTAATTGCTCATTTTTTAAATGAATATCTGCAGGTATCAAACCCTTTTAACAATTTGTCATTACTTATAAAAGATAAAAGCATTCTATCATTTAGAGAGGGAACCTTATCTAGGCCACAGGTTTGTGATTATTAAAAAATAAATAAATAAAATAAAACAAACAAATGAATAGTATTCCCAGAATTACCTCCATCAGGACTGCCTGGTTGCTGCAAAATGAAAAGAAAAAGCTTTGTAATGGAGACACACAGAAATAAAAAAGATACGGTCTTGTGATTCCTCTTATCAAAAGGTTAAGAAGGCTGAATTACATTGTATTGCTATATCCACATGTAGAATTCTTTTGAGCTAAAATTTAAAATAATGAGCCATGCAAAATCATAGTGATACATTTGCAATTGAATTCCTTATGTGATGAATAACAATAAATGTAATGGTTGCTAATTATGTTCAAAAACCAGTTCCTGTGGGCAAGTTAAAATGCACAGGACTGGGTTATGGGCATACTTTTCCTTTTACATGTATACTTTGCACTCATTCTTGCACCCTTACAAAAGGAACTTCCTCCAAAAAAAAGCCACTGGTGTGATGGAAAGACACATAGAAAATATAGTTAGATGATTAGAACTCAAACATATATGTACCTCATCAGAACTGGCACCTGTTCTTAAGCTTTTTCTTCTTGTTTTTCCTGTTCAGAAACACACACTTCAAATCAACATCATAAAATATTGTTATTAACTTGACAGTTCCCAAAAAGTGGAAGTCAGAAGTTTGATCTCTCTCTTTGACTGATAGTTTTCAGTCTTCCAAAGTAAAAATAGTGATCAGCATTTTGTGAAGAAACTTGTGGATGTGCAAAGTTCAGCTGAGAGGGATATAATTCTATATAAAATGTTCTGAATCTTATAAGTAGTCCACTTTGCATAACCTGCTGTTTGTATTCCAGCCTCTAACTCATATTCATGTACATGTAGCACTCATGTACTAACCTAATGCTGGGGATGTTTCTCTTTTGTTTCCCTGAGATGAAAAAAAATGAAAAATACAGTTAAAGGCACAATAAAAAATCTGTACATAATTTAATTTTTTGAATCTCATTTCAAATGCCTAAGGAAGTACTGTACATGTATATATGAGCTTGAATTTTAACCCTTTAACTCCCATAAGTGACCAAGAAATAATTTCTCCTTACAATATCAATACAATATCAAGCAGACAAGTGACAAGAAAAAAGAAAAATATCAGTTAGGGGATTATCAGATGATCCAATACTAAATCCTCCAAAATAACATCACAAGAACTGTATGGGAGATAGTAAGGAGAATTAGTAATGAGATCATGGGAGTTAAAGGGTTAATACATTTGCATATACATGTATATGACATCAAAAATTTGGTAAGTTGAAATTTCCGAAAAAAGGAGAATCAGACGGAAAACAAAGAAAAAGAAAACTAACATTCAGTAGTTGTAATTTATACTACTTGCCAGTTAAATGCAATGTTTTAAGAGTGGCCCAAAGACCAAACAGATATGTGTACATGGCAATTCTTATAAATAGTATTTTAGCAGGAACACAAAAAAAGATCAAAACTCACAGAGCCATCTGTATCAGCTAACTCATAATCTTCCTCATTCATCCACTCATTGAAAACATCAAGATCTGTCAACCAACGAGCATTCACCTACAAATTAACGAAAAAAAGGTTATATGTCTGAACATGTTCAAAGCACACTCCCTTAAATTATAAAATGTCAGGGAGAAAAAGTACTTGCCCTGAAATTTAATTGATACTGAACTAAGTTTACACAAATACTTGCATTCCCAAACATAGATTAATGGGCATGCATGATCTTTACTGCCAGTGGTTCGAGCTTAAAATATGCTCAAGAGCACACAGTTCGTACATGTATACTGTATGTATGGTGTACAGGAAAATCAAATATGCCCAACTATTTCTTTTTGTTTACTTTGTCCAACATATGTGGAAAAAAGTACTCCATAAACAAGTATATTGAGAATGCTGAAGAGCCGATGAAAGAGTTCACTGTGAATCACTAATAATGTATAGTGTACTTCAAAAATGGTTTTTAGCAGGTAGACAGTAGTCCTTTGTCAAAGTCAACACATATTCTTGCCGGTTAAATTAGAGTAAAATTCAGATGGGTACATGTCATGTTAGCTCATTACTTGGTTACCTGCCAGGGTCCCTGGTGTTGGGGCTCTGGCTGAGGCTCATCTTCGATGTCACTTGATGGCACCCAGGTGTCATAGCTAGAAAATGAGTAAACATTTATTTTAAAAAATTGTACTCATAGTAATTAGAAGGTAGAGCAAATAAAAATTGTCAAGGCATAGAAATTTCCAAACCTGTCTGGGTAGTACCACCAATGTACTAGAACTTGTTTGTCTTGTCTTAGCAGAGGCCTAAGCCACTCCTCTGTGGGTATAAATTATAATGGGAATACAGTAAATACCGAAAGAACTTGTTAAGAAATCATATAACATTAACAGCTGAGGGTAATTTAGTATTATCAACTTAGTTGATAACGTAAATTGGCCACCATAAAGAGTTCTAAAGCTGACGTTTCAGGTTACAGGCTACAAGGCCTGAGATCAGTAGAACTTTAACTGTCTAGAAATACAACAACAAAGAAGTAAAAACCTTCGGGAAAAGGTGGAGGAGGGCCATAAACAACATGACTTGCTTCTGATCTGTCTTCTGTTATAGCACCCTGGAAAAAAAAGGGTATCGAGGGTTAAGGCTACTGGTGAGAATTTGAAGCTATATCAAGACAATTTCGTTAAACTGATTAGAATTATCTTCTCAGTTTTCTTAACTTGTCTGCTTGACAGTGTATTACAACTGTAAGAAGAATCTAGCAAATAATCAATTCTGTGAGTGAAAAGATTAAAATTATTGTAAATCCTTACATTGTGCCTCTTGACAATATCCTTTAATTTGGCAGCAAGTCGTGGATCCACTTCTGGTGTAATGAACACATTTGGCACGCTCAAAAGTTTAGCCTAATAAAAACAACAACAATGGAAAAATCAGAAAAGAATAGAAGACTTTGGAAAGAGTCTTGACACAAGAATAATTGTATGATCATGCCACTTGACTGTACATTTACCTCTCTCAATGCCTTTTCCATGTTCAAGAAGAGCTCCACATTTCTATCCATTCGTGATGGAGACTGGAAGTCAAATCTCCTCCTGCATGTATCAAAGAAAAAGATTGGAAAAATGACTGAGAAGAATCTAACATCCACCACATTTAAGTATTGTTGTATGTTATATGTTTGGTTAAGACAGAAACTTTCTGAGTATTTTTTATTAAATTTTTCTTTTTGATTTTTTAATGTTTCACATATAAATGAACATGTAGATGAAACTCAGTCCTGAATGAAGAACTCACCATCCTTGCTCCATCTTGGTCTTAAATACATTTGCAAAGATAACACATAGACTGCCACCTGAAGAGTAATCCATGAACATCTTCATCTGAAACATCAGAAATAAAAACATAACTCATGTTAAACGTAACATGATGGTAAAAATTACAACAAATACAACGTATAAGGACAACAAAAGTGAAGAACTGTAAACAAAAAAAAAGTAAACTTACTGGTAGTTTAGTCAAAAGTGCCTGCTTGCTAACATCCTTGCCAAAGTTATCCTTGAAGAAGTAAACCATGATTGAGATACCATTAAAATGAATCATAACCTTTTTATGTAACTACCAGAACTGCGCAATGTAGCCAAGAGAGCAATTTTCACATTGAGTGTCAAAAGTAATCTGAGATTGCATTTGTTTTGCTTTACTTTGCTCTATGATTGGTCTAAAAGTTTTGCGCCAATGTCTCAACCAATCAGATACAAAACTTACACTAATCACGACTTGATGGCTTCTGTTTCCGTACACTTTAGGCACTTAAGTTTCCTTTCTTCTGATTTGTCATTGAGTTTACTTTCTTATTGGTATTAGTTAAACATCACTTAATCAAAACCACTCTGATAACTTGAATTATGATCCAATTTAAACATACTAGTGCCACCAAAATTGAATTATCTCTTCTTCTTGCCAGAAAACCACATAGATAATGAGAAAGAACAAGAATTACTAATCAAATTGGGGATTCGATCATGTTTTGATAATAAATCAAATGCTCATAAGGAGTCAACACAAAAATATGTAACAAACAACAATTCAGAGAATTACATTTCTAGTCCTAGAAATTGAAAGGTTTCATACCCAAGATCATGTCATGATCGATTTTTCTGAGTCATAAAATGTTCATTTATAAAATCGATCAATCGGAAACATACAACGTAAAATTCATTTCACCTTAATTAACGCAATTACTGTATTAACAAAAGTTCTTGGTTTAATTTAGCATTTGAACTGATTGATTTCACAACCTAAATATATTTTTGGCAACTTAACCCTTTTAACCAAGATAAAAAAACGGAACATCAATACTCCAGAGCTTCTAGAATTAGATGGATTTTCATGTTATCCAATGTAGAATGTTAAAGATGTACTGTGAACTTTTGTAACCTGTCATAATAAACATACGTACTTCTTGAAATTGTAGCAGTTGTGCTGTAAGTGTAGCGAGAGCTTTATTCGTTGGTGGTTCCACTTGCACATACTGGAAAAGATAACACGATTACGGGAAATCTAGTGTGAGCACTATCGACTCCAACAACTATTAAACTGAGCCATGTGTTCATCACGAATCTAATTTATTTGACAACGATTGTAATACATTATAGCACGATGTATTTTCAGTTTGAACCTAGAACATATAAAACGACTACTAACCTTTTTACAGTTTTTCAGCAGATACTGCTTGACCGGTTCAAAGAGAGCAATAGTATCGAGAGATTCGTAGTATTTCCAATCAGGAGCGCCATCCTTTTTACGTGCCGCCATGTTGGTTTATTGTTTCAAGCGAAACAAAGAAGCATATTTTGCATTTATGCGGAACAAAGTGTCCCCTACATACAAACGTACATAGTTCTGAAGAATTTATTTTCATCTTGGAAAAAAAGATTAATCCTAGGAGGATATCTTTTCTTAACATTTTCCTGAAATTTATTGGTCTTATCTATCAATTTCTTAAACAAAAAGAATGATATCCGGACTCGTTTGGCGTCTCGTTCGCGGAAGACTGGATCAAGACTTCAGTGTCACGTGTTCTTAGATCTGAAAATATAGAAAAAAGCGCGCGATTACTGAAAATTCTACCACGTTATTATTAGCTAAAAGTTGTTTTTCCATCAGTAGGTTGTTTTTTTCTCAGATAGCGTTCGTTGTATGATGAATCATAGGGAACAGTTTTTGAACTCTGTTGGAAACGATTCTCCGCAAGCTTTCCTTCGTTTTATAGAACAGCACGTAAGTGACATACTTTAGTAAACTTACTTGTTTTTATTTTGCAGAGCGATCGCAAACTTGTCGGGATATTTTCTTTGTTCTTTTCCTTCGTACATGAAAGTGTCGCCAAAAGTTTATCTTTCGTTTATTTTAGTATTTAATCTAAAATTTTGGAAATTGAGTGTATGTAGCAAGCATCAAGATCAAAGATTCGAACTCAATCATTGATTTCACTTATACTCACGCGCCGCATATTTGTAGGTGGCAAGTATATACCTGCATTCAGTTGTCATTAAGGTATCGAGCATGCATGGTGTAGTCTAGCGTACATTTTATTATGTCATCCACGGGATGAATAACAGGAATGAGGGCCATGTTTGCTTTTGTGGTACAATTATTAGATGTAACCACTATTTTGCTTTTATTTATCAATACATTTTTTTTTCTTCAATAAATGCAACAGAACTCAAAGAATGATTCATTTAACATTGAAGAGGCTTTGCAGACTTTGCCAAAAAAAGATCACGAAAGGTTGTGGTCCGGTCTCCGTGACATGACACGCAGACTTTTGTTGACAAATCCTGTTGGCTCTCGGGAAAATGATGACTCTGAAGACGAAGGACCTTCGGTAACTCCAGTAATCATTTCTATTAAATTCGAAAATAATGTTAAGAAAAGTGCAAGAAATCAATGAGAGACCACGGTCTTTATTTCAGGTAGTAACAATACGTTTACAGAAGTTTGAATAACATAAATAGCATAAAGCAGGATGCTAGGCAGACATTGGACATCTCCAGCATTTTTTCAGGTTTACCTATCAATTCATTCAGGCTCATTTATACTCTAAGATGGATAGAGACTCTGGTAATTTTAATATTAATAACTAGATAAACCTTTCTCTGCTGGATAGCACAGTACATTTCATCAACACTTACTGTGGATCTGCTACATTGCAATTTATCCATTTCATAGGGTTATCTGCTTTCTGAATGACTGGGCCTTAACTCAAACTTTAGGTATCTGCAGTTCACCGCAATACATCACTGGGGCACTGTTACTGCACCTAGGATTTCTGAGTAAAGTTCTGTTAGAACATGAGATTTGATGATTAATGTGTTTACATAATTTTCCTCTAAGGAGTGGCCTGCTCTTCTGTCCTACCTGGAAGGGGTCACAACAGTGGGCCTCTGTGCTCTTGTTGTGATGCCAGAGAAGCCCACACATGTCCCTTCAGCTTTTTTGGAAACAGCTGCCATTCTTCATGGTTTGTGACATAATTATTCTATTCACCATCTTCTCTAAAGCTGATGTTTTGAGTGTTAGCCCTTTGTCAGAGCCAAAGACAAGGAGCTAGCACTTGAGCTAGCTTTAGAAACTCTTTATGGTGGCCAATTTACATTATCAACTTGGTTGATAAAAATAAACTTCATGTAAACGTATGAATAGAGCAAAATTTGATGTTGAAGATTCAAAAAGTTCAGTGTTTAGGCCTAAAGTTTTGTTTTTCACATGTGTTATCGTTAGGTCTTTAATGTCCCTGCCTGAAGGATCTGAATCCTTGCAGAATGATATTGCCCAGCTGTGTGAACTTTGGTGAGTCTGTTATGCAACTTAACATGGATTGTACAATTCACAGAATGATTTAAAACTGATCTTTGTCTTAATGTTGTTAGTTTCATAAATCTCAGAATATTTTATGTATGACATGGGATCAATGAAACATTTTTTTGTAAATCCGTCATAGGTTTCTCAATGAACTGGAAGGAAAGGAGGAATTGATCACTCAAACTTTCCCATACCTGATAATAAGGAGCCTTGGCCGAGGATTGGTAAGCAATAACAACAATACAAAGAAAAATTGTTTATTCACAATTCAAATGAAAAGGGAAAAGGATATGAAATAAGTTATACCTTTCTAGTTTATTCCCTCCTGAAAATAATTCAAACATAAAATAAATTATATATATCTGTTTCGTGATAAAAAAATGTCACACCCTCAAGTAACCTAATGTTTGCGCAAAACATTCAAGACATACGATAATATCTGAGTCTACTCTTAAAAATGTTCAAATTGTCAGCCTCTGCAACTTCTCTTGGCAAATTATTCCATGTACCAATTATACACAATGCATAAAAATGAATATTTGAAACTATTTAAAGTTGTGGATGCAGAACTAAGTTTGAAACAGTAATTTTATTGTTTTCTAATAAATTTAAGCAACCTACATGCAAGGGTGTAATGGTGCAATTTTTGAAAAGAAGTGTTGCTTGACAAGCTCTCCTGGGAAGGATTTGATCTCCTTTAAAGTATCTCTGGTCCAATACATTTTGATTTGTAACCCTTTGCTTTATTGTGCAGTATGGTGGCATTTATCTATAACTCTCTGTATCAGAAATTTAGTGTAATGATCACTGTTAACACATAATTTACAATTATAATGACTGCTTATAGGTTTCTGATGTTAAACGTGTGTGGGGTTTACGCCAGTGTCTTCTTCTGATGGACTTCGATGATGAATCTTCTGAATCATTAAAGCAACTACTACATCAATGTATGATACACCCAACGTACCTCAAGTTGGAGGAGGTTGGTGGAATTAATAGAAACAGTACTATAGAGATGTATTTACATTTAGTATTGAACTAGACTATTGGATACTAATGCATCTGTATAATCTAACCAAGCAAATTTCTGGCCTCAGTTGTTGGGAGGGTGGATAATGCTTTTCACTAGATAAATCTCTATCTAGTAGATAGTGAGGTACCTTTCCTTAACCCTTTGATCCCTAAGAGTGACCAGCTTCTAGTTTCTCCTTACAATATCAACCCTAAATGAAACAGTAAGGTCACAAGAATAAAGGAAATGATCACCAGATCAAGAAGCCCTTGATTGTTTAACAAATTCTTGTATCAGAACCTCAGGAAATATTTAGAGAACAGTATGGAGAATAAGTATACTGATGTTAGGGTATAAAGGGTTAACAAATATCTCCTGGGTAGCAATTTATCCATAGTGTTTCACACCACGGGTTCGGGTACTACCGGTTTTGAAGATTCACCAAGAAAATAAAGTCCTCGGGGTCTACCAATGTTTTTAACTAGTTTATTCAGCAAGTTTTCTCTTGCACATGCTCTAGCTAGTCAACTGAAAGTAAAAAATACATGGATGACCTATATTGGTTATAACAAAAACAGAAGTGACAAAAAAGCTTTCTAGAATGCGTACAATGTTGATCTCACAATTCTGTAAGGCATTATCCTGCTCAAGACGCGATATTTTCCAGTCCTTGCATAAAGGCAGAAAACACACTTTTTGAATGAAGCACATACCTTTCAACCTGTTCTTGGATTCCCTACTGTCGCTTTCTTAATCTTACTCATGTTTATGAACTAATCTTGACAGCCCATGATATCTTAGGTAAACAAAAAAAAAATGCTTTATCTTAAATAAACAAAAAATGCTTGATTAAAAAACATCAATCGGCGAAGTGCAAAATGCATAGGTTACTATTATCTGCCCTCTGAACAACTGGTATCTGAGAGGTGATGCATGCTTGAGATAAGGCTGGTTCCATAGAGTTATGTAACATAGCCCCAAAAATGTTGAAATAAATGCTTCAATTGTGTGAATGAAAAAGGAGAGAAATTTCTTTTATGATGCAACTTCTGGGTTGCAGCTTTTATTTGAACTACCAGCCGTACTTGTGTTTTTTTAAAAAATGTGCCACTAACTCTTAGAATTATAGGAATCCATTGAACAAACCAGGCTTTTTGCTCATCTCTCTAAAGGGACGTCGTTTCTTAAGCTATTCATTTGGATTGAATCCTGGACTGGCCAAGGAGTTCCATAAAACAATAAAAAACCAGATTCCCTACTGTACTATGTAAGTGCAATTCCTCATACAAACCTATTATTGTGATAATTTATTTAAAAGTATTATATAGAGGTTGGGTGATTTTTTTATTTTTCCTTTTGTCTCATGTTAATGATGAAAGGAATTGTTAGCACAGTCTCTGTTTCTACTGAATAGAACATTGACTTTCAACACCTTTACTACCACATGTCTTAAGAATTAGGAAAACTCAGTGTGAGAGAATTTGCCAATATTGAATTTTATAACATTCCTGGTCCCAAGGTTTTTTTTTTCTTTTTCTACAATTTTTGATATGTATACCATCATGAGCTAGGATAACATTTGATATTCCTTATTCTGTTATTCCTTGATCCTTAAGAGTAACTTGCTTCTCTAAAATCTCCTTACAGTATCACCCTTAAATCAAATATACTTTTTGTAAAGGTCAGGAGAATAAATGAAATGATTGTAAACCAATTTATGAAGCTCCTGATTGTAAAACAAATTCTCCTTGTCATTTGCCATGGGAAATGTCAAGAGAACAGTGTAGAGAATATGAATGCTAATGCTAGGGTGTATTTAAGGTCAACTCATAAGACAATTGTCTCATTTTGAGGGTAATGTTTTAAAATGATTGTGAACGGTGAGTTTGTATCACTGAACAGAATGTGATCATGTAATTCCTTATGCTTACACTGTGTGTTATATCCTCTCCCAGGAATGTCCTAAGTTTGTATGGTGAAGTTTATTTTCGTGCCTGGAGAGTTGCTTCTGGAGCTTACTTAAAGGTGCACAATTCATTAACTTTATGCTTTATTTGAAATATGTAACTTCTTACAGTATACAATGATAATTGTTTTGGATTGTGTTGTGTCACAATGATCAGGTGGCTGAAGTTTATTCTGAAAAGGACTGTTTTTGGAATTCACAGTGAACTCAACTTAAAGCATACAACTGTACATGTAGCTAAAATTTTGACAACTTTAACAAAAGTAATTATTGTTGTAATTTTGCTTTCTGATGCCTGCCTGATTAACAAATGACTGTTTCCTTGACCCTGGTGATGGTTTTGTTATGCAGTAAGGTTGCAAAGAGAGAGAAAAGAACAGTGCTTACACTGTACATGTACCTCTGACAACATTTATTTGCAGGAATACATTTGCTGCATGATCCTGCTACTTGATTAATTGTTTCTTTCGAGTCAAACCTTTTATTTTCTTTAGTATAATATTCTCCTCTTTGGCTTTGACTGCATTTGGTTTTACATAACATACAACTCCTCTCAGAAGTCAGCCACGAAACAGTGGTGTGAAACAAGCTGGGGAATCTGTCTGAATACTCTATTGGCCTACATGAAGCCCACCATTTCATATCATGGATGGAAAAACAAGATGCTGAAGCGGTGATTTTATAATCAAGAGCATTCTTATTATTGTCAGGTTTTAGAAGAAAACTGTATTCAAGACCTGATGTTTGCTGCTGTCCATGCACAGCGCACTGGTACTAAGTCAATGGCATCAAGACTACGAAAGGTAACCTGGTGCTGTTTTACAAATAAGATAATTCAGATGAATAAGTGTACTACATATTACGCACAAGTCATATTATTCACAGTGGCAACCACATACTTCAAATCATCTTTAGACTGGATTTTTAATTACTGTCATTGTGTAGGGAAAAAAGACAACAACCCAAAATCAACTTGATGTATAGAATTTTCTATTAGAAGTATACTTTGAGTCCTTTTCAATATGTGACATATTGGAATCAGATGATTTACCTAAGTTTACTCTCTCCTGTTGTTTGTGTTTAGGTTTTAGAATACATTCATCAGCAAAAGAAGCAAAGAGGGGTTGATGAAGCTCTTCTAAGGTTGTACCAGCCAATTATATGGAGGGCATTTAAAGTATGTACATACACCATCATGAAAGCAGTGTTTGAAAATGTAATCGAGAACTGTGATTAATGCAAAGATGACCCTTGAATACCTACATAGTAAGAAAACTACCTATTCCTGTAGCTTTCCCTGCAGTAAAAAGGACTTCCATTTATTTCAGATAAGTACTCAATCAGGCTCATTTTGCATTAACTTGTAAAGCTCTACGGTGTTTAGCTTCCAAGCTTCCGCTGTCAACGAAATTCATATTTGCTTCTACGTAAAGACCAAAACAATTTTGTTTTAGGATATTTCATTTTTCTCCATTCAGGTGGCAAATCCTATGGTCAGAGCCAATGCAGCAGCTCTGTTGACAGATACATTTCCGTTACAAAATCCAGATGCTGGGAATGAAGAGATTGATGAACTTCTACAGAAGCAGTTTGATATTCTGAAGGTACAGTGTATGTGGACCAATTTTTAGTGGAACAACGTGTGAAGCACCCATCTCTTCGTTTAGCAATACAATAGGTTGCAGGCTAAGTGCAATCATGATTACAAAAAATCTTTCTTCTGAACAGGACTTGCTTGGAGATGCACATCCTACAGTGAGAGCCACCGCCATTCATGGTGTCTGTCGCATCACCGGGGTATTCTGGGAGCTTATTCCGGCTCATATCATCAAGATGTTTCTAACAAAACTGGTAGGATCTTGCTGCTTGTTAGTGTCAAAAAAATTAAACGCTGAAACCCCAATGAAACTCAGGGCCTCAGTTAAATATCCTTGTGATCCATTTAACAAATGGAAACCATGTTACCGTGATTCTGTTCTGTAATAGAACACAGATGATGTTAAAATGTGGTAAGAACAAAGAAGTGGCGCACGAGGCGCAGCCGAACGTGTCACTGATTTACTTGGCACATGTTTACGTATTCTTCGATCTATTACTGTTCAGACCCGCGGCAACATGGAATCTCTCTGTTTTATATGAAAAAAAAAGAAGTTGTTCATGGGGAAGTCGTCTATGTGTCTGTCTTCCATTAGATCATAAGTAAGAAGCAATCAAAATACGTGTATCATGTTGGCTTGTAATCGGGCCCGGTGTTTAACGGAGAGAATACATTAAACACGGTGTAAGGATTATTGTTAATTATCGGTTCTCACTTAGACCACCACAGGACATATTGTGTTAAAGTATTTGAATATTGTAAAAAATACTTATTGTGAAGTATTCGAATCATCATTCGTTTGCTGGCAGGTAACAGAATTGGCTTTTGACACGTCCTCTAGTGCTGTAAGGGTAGCAGTTTTTCAGGTAAGAGACAAAGGACATTGACGTTCACATTTTTGTCAACAGACAAGTTGGAAAAAATAATTGAAAAGTGTGTCAGGCTGTACGCATGTTCCAGGCTCTCTTCAATGTTACAGCATGACCTGCGAAACCCACACGATTGGAGCCAGAGAATGCATCAAGTGTGTGAGAGGTCTAGCTCAAAACGCGTGGGCTTCGCTGCTCACGTCGTAGTGCCAATAAAGAGCCTGTTTAAAGGCTATAATTCAGGTCGCAGGCAGGTTCATTAGGAGGTTTACGTTTATGAAAAGCCAAAAAATGTAATCAAATTAAAAATGAAATTTGGTTTTGGGTGTTTTACATTTCGAAAGTGCTTAACCGATTTAGAAAATGGGCAAATGCAAACTCTTTGTTGAAAAATTCACTCTAAGTTGTACGCGTTTAATAGACGCTTTCGCAGTAATTCCTGTTCATGAACTTGTTTACCAAGGTAAGTAATTTCTGAGTGGCTAACTACTTCAAAGGGGTGTCGTAAGTTGGAACTACTTTCGAGAATATCTGTAGTTTTTCTCAAGTCTTCACGTATGTATCACTATTTGTCGTTTTGTGATACGTAAGAATCCACGTCCAATTTTCTTAGGGCTTAAAATTCTTGCTAGACAATCGTCTCAGTCACCCTCTATTGAAGCCGTTGCTGAGCAATTTGCAAGACCTGGTGCATGATCAGACGGAGAGAGTGCGGGTGGTTTTTCTTGATGTTTTGCTGTTAGTCAAAGGCCTCAAGGCAATAAAGGTTAGTTGAAGCAGTGTGTGAATGTTGGCAGGTCTGCTTTTAAGCAAGCACATACATGTAATCCTCTTTTAAAATGCACGCAAACTGAGTCTGGTTGTGTATTTTGGAGTCAGACCGCCTGTCAGAAGTTAGGTGGTGACGCCAAGACAGAATTGAAACTCTGGATGTAGCTTGGAAACAAAAAGTGTGTTTAGTTTATAAATGCAGCTAAGCTAACAAGCCTTCTTTCACTTCAATTTTATGGCTCAGGAAACCCAGCATAAGCGTCACACGCGGAAGAAATAAATACATGCATTTATCGTTACATGAAGCAATATACTTGACGTTCTGGGATCGCTAACAAAAACATCACATGCTGAAGAACACCAAGAGTAAACACAACAAACATAGATGAACACGTCTTCCCATTCTGAAAGCGTATTGTCTGAAGCGCAAGTCGTCGCCATTCGATGCGACAGGCACGATCCGTCATCGTGTGGCCACCTTCATACTCGTTGATTAATTGCACCCTCCGGATAAGAAAAAATATTTATTTCCATAGTGCAGATGTTTAGGCTGCCAGATCTGCTACGACTCTGTCGGACAATGTAGCTACTAAGAGATTCTTTCTTTTTGTTTCTTTTCAGTTCTGGAATATAGTGCCACTAGAACAGTTGCTCGCTCAGTTGGAGGTGGAACAGTCTGCGGCAGTGATAAGGAGACTAGTCAAACTGCTTGTCAATTCATTTCATCCTACTAACAAGAGTGTTGATGTACAGGTGAGTTAAATGAGGTACAGAGGGAAACTCTTGTTTTCTCTTGAGTATACTTATAAGCAATAAACCACACTTCCTGTTGGTTTACCGGCGTAATAAACCGCGCGGATGTTGGGAGAACACGAGAAAGGTTTGAAAGCCACGAGCCGGAGACGAGTGATTTATAAACTTGTCTCGTATTTCCCAATATCCCAAGTGGGTAATTACACCGTTAAACTGATATTAAGTGCGATCTGTCAAATAAACGCTCATTTTTGTTGCATTGGGACAGCTAGGGTAATTCTCTTGTATTTTACCCGTTTGTTGTAATAGAAGACGTGCATAGCTATGGCACGCCTTTTTTCAAGGGAATCACCCTAACACCAAACCACAATGCACAGCGGTAAGAGCTATTCGCAAAGCACGAAAACTTTCTTTACACAAAATTAACAATCGTAACAATCTTCCAATCTGCATTGTTCTACTGCTTCTGTAATGGTTTGTTTAGCTTTGTGGGTGTTATATGCTAGCCCTATGCTGTTTTATTAAATTTCTGGTGGTGGCACAAATGAATTCTGAAAGCATGGTGTTGGGTGGCTAGAAATTGTATATGCCTCCAAATTAATTAAAATTCTAAACATTGTAATCCTTCTTTAAGCCAGTTACTTCAAACAAAAGCCTTATTTCTGAAAGTCACTAAACATGTTTTTCTGTGTCATTTGCTTGTTTTCTCTCACTCTGCGATCTTGTCTGTAGCCCCTCCCCCCGTCCCTCACCTCGCCTCACCCCACTCCCTTTACAAATACGGCTAAAGCTCTATGCATTTATTTGTATCTTTACTTGTAGGCCACTCGGTGTTCAGCTTTGTGGCAATCCAATCCTCTTGCAACCAGGAAATTTTATCAATATGTTCACCTACACACAACCATATCGGCAACAGGTTAGTATCTGCTATGGTATTTTAAGCCAAAGTTCTTTTGAAGACACCTTTGAAGCAGATGTTCCGGTCCAAGGAATTGACTAAAACTGGCAGTTTTATTGTTAAGTGGACCAAGAGCAAATAACTTGGGAAAATTTTGAAAATGAGAAACTCAAAACTCATTGTAACAGCGGGTTAAATGCTCTAACGAGGATATATTCATTATGATGTAATAGTGTTTAAAGTTGATTGTTTCAATAAAGGTTGAAGCGGCCTTCTAATTTATATAAACTTTTACAACAAGTATTGGCGAATGGATAAATTCTATTTTCCTGTCATCAGGCTGTCAGCAATTTTAGGCTCTACCCTTGCCGTAAATGTTATGTCAAACGTCAAATTCTCCACTACTATTCAATGAACATATATTTGCTTGATGGAATTTCACATTCAGTTTTCTCTTTTAGGCAAGTTCATAGCATTTCTGGGTAACTGCCTGGTGAAGTGTGCAAAAAATGAACATGATGAAAGTCTGTCCTTGGAACCTGTTAGCCAAGGTAAGTGACGCAAATCTGAATCTGAAGATATTGTTGAGAGAATAGAACCTTGGTCATTTTATTAATTTTTTTCCCTTGTAAATGTCATTTCTGGTAAGCTGAGGACAAGGAGAATTCTGAGTGCTTGGAGAAACTGGGGACATATGATGTTAACACACTAGCGGGCCTGGCCGAGACAATAGCCATCTGTTGGGGAGGTATCAAGGACAAATTGGACAAGGTATTCTTCATTGAAACCTGATTTTCACACATTTAATTTAGTTAATTAATCAAATAAAAAGAGAAACTCGTTCGGGAGGGGGGGGGCAAAAAGGGAAACTCGTTCGGGTGGGTGTCAACATTTCTGAGTGATGATACGTTATTCAAATTCCACTTTCTAGAGCGCCAACGACGCAACAAGGTCAAAGTTGGTTGAAAAGTTCACAAACGCTCTTCCCTTTCTGTTTGGAGTATTTAAGGTATGTATTACTCACTCATCACACGACAAAATGACTCCACAAATTTTTATTTTCCCCTTCTGTTTAAAAATGTATACGTTTCCCTCTGAATCTCGACCGGAATTTGTAGTGAGCAATATAAATATTTAGTACCCACGACTTTGAAGTTTCTTTTGGTATGATATCTCTAAATAAACTCATTTTGCCGGTAAAAACGTTGCCAAAGGTTTGACTTTGGTTTGAACTGTAAGCTGTCAGCCTACCAACGAAAATTGAAAAAAAAAATCCAAGTGCAAAGTGTAATGTAACAAAATGCATGCTTTTCTTAACAGCAAACCCGCATTCAGGCAGCTTGTTTAGTAATTGCTGGATTTCTTCCGTCCTCATCACTGCCCGCCTTTAGGTAGGTACATGTACGTTAGTCTTTCTACGGCTTTAACTCGCGTAGCAACCGGAGCTTTATTCCGGCCGGTTTCTTTGGCTTGAAGCAACTGAAATATTACTCCTCTCTTGTGTGGAATGTTAGTCCTTGTCAGGAATCCCCCTGACCTCCACCTCAAACGCTTTCGTCTATTGTCTCTGACAGATATTTACAAACAAAAAAATGTACTCAAAGGTGGAAGAGTCATTTGAAGGGGAAAGCGTCCTGCCCAAGAACACAACACACAGCTTTATCCAGGGTTTGAACTCGGACGTTTCGATTCGCAGTCCAGCGCACATAATGCTAGACCATTATAAAAAAAAAACAAAAACAAAAACAAAAATTTATGCATGTCTTGAAAACCCCACCCAACCCCCCCATAACTTCTCTGGTAGTCCATCCCTTAGGCCAGCACGACCCGGCATTTAGTTCCTATTTATCGTTATTTCCCTCTTTTTTCCCAGCGCCAAGTGTCTTTCATCTCTATCCAGCTTGCCTGCCAGCTCACTCAGTTCAGAGTACGGTCCACTGTTGAACTGCCTTTGTGCCTGGGACAGAACCACTGATGTACTGGAGCTTATTAATGACTTGATAGCTTCTAGAATGACTGGACAAAGAAGAGATATCAAAATGGTATTAAATTGTGTCGTCAACTGCTTTTGTTTCCAATTCGAAGTGGTTAGCAAATTCAATGAAATCTGTACACGTAAACCCAAAAACAGTTTATATCATAGAAAACATTTCTTTTTTGAATTGTTTACGCAAACGATAAACTGACTTAACAAACAGATTTAAAGCTTTGAATCGTAATGGTTCAACTCCATAGGGCCGCTACAAAACCTGCGCCTTGGATAACAGAAAAAATTCACATTTTGTCTTGTTAGGGAGAAAAGACACGACACAGAAAGAAATCTGTTACCTTTCAGCTCCCTCCAGAGAACAAACACATGTTGGCATTGGATTTTCTTTCTTGGATGATGGTAAACTAGTTGACATCACGTTTTCTTAGTGCACGCACTGGCCGATAAGCGCGGCTGAATTTGTTTACTCCCGGGCGTGTACAAAGACAGACTGTTCGAACAATGCCTTTTTCTAATTTTGAACGTTAGAGCCGTTTTCAATGGAGTGTTTTACGTTGCTTCTCTCTGTGATTGGTCAACTCGCTCAACGAATCAGGTGCAAAGCTAAAACAAATCACAACATGGTCACCCGCGTTTTCCCGCAATTTAGGCAATTTGGTTGATTTTAGTTGAAGTTCTCATTGGTTCCTAAGAGTATTTTACTTTCCTCTGATCAGCCGTTGTGATAAGTTTGGTTTTGGTTTTATGACACTCAATCGAAAAGCGTTTTATAAATCGAAACTCAATTCTCAATCCAGCGAAGCTCTGTGTGAGTGTCCACTGGCCCAAATGCAATCCATACTAAAAGTTATTTCAAGCTCTCTGGTTTGAACATTTTTTAAAGGGTCAGCGTTAAATTTCTTTATTTCGATCGCGTTATTTCGCAATCAGAATTAGGAGCTGAAGCTCTCTTTTGTGGATACTGGTAGGGCTCTCTTTCCAAACCAGCCTTTTTTTCGGTATTTGTACCCAGTCCTCTACCTGCTTACAACAATTTGAGCCGTGCGCGGAAACACTGTCGTATCTCACAATTCCATTTTTTGGACTGTCTTTCAGATGTTCTTGATCTTAACTTGCAGGACATTTCGTCCGCCTGATACTTCTTCATCCTTTTTCAGGGTGAGCCCACGTGCCGCACAGCAGTGCAGGAGCACCATGACAAATTACGAAAGATAGCTGATAATTTAAGGCTGATAATGGTAAATGTGTGATTGCTACCATGAGCAATGAATTGCAACCTAACCCTTTTTTTCAGCAAGCCTCTTTTGGGTGTTTATTGATAGCGGGATTGTAGCGAAGGGTGAGAAAATAAGGGAGGTTTGGAGGACGGTACGACCCGACCCTATCGTCCTTTTTCGCCCAGCACCACTATCATGCCCCGTTTGTTGAACGATCGCCTTGCACAGACTTGTCTGAGTCCAAAGCGCGTGAAGGGTGAAGAAAGATAAAGCAATCGAACCGCAAGAAGTGTAGGGAAATGTTATAGAAGCGTAACTTAACCCTTTAAACCCTAAGATTTGATCGTTAATTCTCTTCTTTGGCTGCTACACATTTCCTAATAAATTAGTTACAAGAATTTGGTGTTTTATCATGAAAACAACATCTACTTGATCAGCACGAGTATTCTTATTACTTGTTTGCTGGATAATGTACGGATATTAACAGGAGTAGTCAGATTTCAATTACTTCTGGGAGTTGAAGGGTTAAGGAATACGTGAAGTAAATCTCTCGTCAATTTTCATTTCCTTGGATTGGTAATTCTCTTCTCTAAATGCTCTACATTTCCTTTTAAACTTGCGAGAGAATGTGATGTATTTGGACAACGCCCTTTAGTTTAGCGTGATGTTTATTACTCTACCCTATTACTTCCGTAGGCGATCATTGAATCTCATCTTACATCAACTGACTCAGTACCAGTCCCTTTGTCCGAAAGTGACGTAGAATTCTTTCAGAAGGCTTTCCAGGCATACTGTCTGTCAGAAATCCACTTACACCACATGGTAAATACAAAAATCAGTTCTCTGAAAAAGAGAAGATTATAGTAATGGTTATAGTATTACTTATAGAAACAGGGCCAATAATAATAATAACAACAGTAATAATAATAATGGTAATAATGATGATTATAATAATAATTTTAATGATATTCCAAACATAGTGAATTGACCGTAGTAATTTAAGGAGGCGTTCTTGAAAGACAAAGGAAAGTTTAATTGACCAGTTCCCACTTCCCTGTTATCGATATCGTGATATTTTATGACAGGTGATTGAAACTTCTTCGAGAACTATTTGAAACAAACTCGCCCCACACGCGTTTTCTCCGTTCGTACATTGGGCAATATTTACCTTCTTGCATGCCATCCGTGCATTGATGTGTTCCTTGCTTCTTTCTGAGTATCAAGTTTGAAGATTTACGAACTGCCTTCGTTGTGTTTGAAGGAAAGGAACGATGATCACGAAGGAGCTTTGACAGCCATGGAAAACGTGCTTGTCTGGGGTGACAGAGTATTACTGCCAATAATTAATAAAGACAGGTCAGCGGTTTCCCCTGGAGTCTTTTTTTGTGTTATCCTACTTGATGTAGATACGTGAACGCTGCAACAACGAACGTGCATAGTGTATATGTTTTTACAAAAACTGTAGAAATTCTCGTACGCTCATTGGTCGAGGGCCATCGTCAATAAAGTTTTAGAGGATAGAAATAACATCATGTAACACAGCGCTCAGCAATCAGGAAAAATTGAAGTTCCTCGTGGTTTAACTCTAGTTTTTAACATTGTCAACGTCATTTCTATGATCAATAAGGTTAAAGGCAATGGAAAAGTGTGGTTGCTTTATTTAATAGATTTTAACAGAAATATTTTTTTTGCATACGCCCTTAAGTCTTTAGGTTACAAGGAAAGCGTTTGCTTTCCTTATTTTGTTTTACAACGGGTTCTCACTTTGCAATGACTTGAGAGGACCTTTTTTTTCCGTGTAAGGGGAGAAGTCTGTAGTTTTATTTTCAGTTAGTTGGAAAATTATGAGTCTCATGAACAAAATGGAAATGCATATAACAGTGTGAATTAACTTTTAGGAAAGTTTCTGATGAATCGATGAAAGTAGCTACTGGTGCCAAACGTGTTCGCGAGGAGGAAACATTTTGTTGTTTGGTAATTCACTTAGTAGAGGTATGTAATGGACTAGCGCTAGACAGGAAACTTCACCACCTGACGATGTCTCACGCGATATACCGATTTATCTTGTGATTCGTACGGCCCCGTGTGCGCGCTTTCGGTAAAAAAAAATTTTCGAAAATAAAATTCTCGAATGGGGGCCGCACGCGATGGTGTGAGCAGGGCCATACAAAGCCGTGCGGCCCACGATATGTGAGCGACGTTCAAGCAATTATTGACTGATTTAGTTTTTTTCTGTTTTCTTGAATAGCCAATCCCATTGCGAGAATTCGCTTACCTATGAGTGTGACAAGTCTGTTTCGAAGCTGAAGTTCTTGTGATGTAGTATTAAGGATATGCTGTTTGTTTTTCCTTAGACCATTTTGATGTGCCTGAGCGAGATAGTCATGCTTCGAATGGCCGAGGAAAAATTCTACAACCAGGCGGCAGTTTTTACAACATCGCTAGCAAAAATTGGTGGGTGGATTTGTTAGTTCCACTAAATTTGTAGCGCAATTAAGAATGTAAATGGAATACCAGGACATTCGCCTCCTTGTGTTGACTCTTTGTGCACGATCTCCTGCGATAATCGAAATGAACAGTCCCTGAATTTTGTTGATAAAACACTTGGTAATAACTGAACTGTTTTTGGATGAAGTTCAAAAATAGGTAATAATTTATTATCACGAACATCATAAAACCAGGTTCCGTCCCAACTTTTCCTTCTCTTCTCTTTTGGAATGCATTTTAACGACAAGGTGTTTGAAATGTTTTTATTAAAACCCTAACACCAAAGTGGGTACCGGAGGAGAACTGCGTGCTTGTGCAAGTATTGAATCCCCTTTTTATCGGTAGTGAAAGGATAAAAGAACAACACCTTATTATGTATGTGATTTTGTGGGCATTTTTTTCCTCAGGTTGTAAAGCAGTGGAGTTTTTACCGCATCTTTCCAAACTGCTTTATCAACTTGCTCAGAGCGTGCTTTTGACTGATGGTAAGTATCTCCAAGTAATTATCTTCTTAAGTACCTTAAGCCAGGAAGATTTATAAATTTCGTCTCACCAAAATAGTACAGAACTTACCATGATAGTGTATTATTTAGGTAAAGAGGATATTGACAACTCTTCCTGACTTTATTATATAAAAGTACACCCTGAACAGACAAATTTCTTTAACTTGTGGTTTAGCCTAGTCCACTTTTACGCTGGTGGGACATTGTAGCACAGGACAAAAATACGAAGGGAAAGTGGAGCAAATACATTCTCGGTTTAATTCTAAGTGATGAACCTTTGAGGGAAACAGATTTTTTGTGCGGGTGGTCACTTTCGCGCGCTCCTCATGCAATCGATACGAGTCTTATATAACGCCAGATTTGTTTTAAACCTCAAGGCCATGATACTAGAGAAACGAAAAAGTAAAACCTCAAGCCAATAAAAATGATTATGGTTAACTGATAAATAAATGGAATTAAATATAACTCCCTTATTCGGAGAACGATATGATTGGCGCGGACATTTAAACCAGCGGATAAGGTGTATTTATTTGTTGCTCCTCGCAGTGTATGGAATAAAAACTACGTTTGTGTTATCTTTGTCTATTTGCAGAAACAGGAAGTGTCACTGTTCAAAGTGGGCCGGTGTCGATTGTCTTGACAAACATACTTCAAATACTGACTGCTTGTGACAGTACAGAAGTGGATGTTCTACCACAGGTTAGGAATAACGGTTTTCTTTATGGTGTTTCATCCGTGCCATACGTTTTCTAACTGGTTCAATGTTGTTCCTTGTTCCGTTCGCTTGCAGTTTTCCCTGTTTCTTAGTCCCTTTCACCTGCTTGTGCTCTTTTTTTGTTTATTTCGATCGTGTGTTATCCTATATTTTATTTTCTTATTCATTCATTCATTCGTTCATTCATTTATTTACTTTTCAGGCACTTCTTACTTTTCGTCCCGCCTTGGCTGAAGTTCTCCAGCTTACTGAGCTTGGTCGGAAACGCAGCAGCGGATTTAATGCGTGTTTCTTCAAACCACTGTTGTCTGCTTTATTGGCAAACATCACGCAACAGGTATGATAGAACTGCTGTGGCGAACAAGTCGTGATTGGTTTTTAGCTTTGCATTTGATTGGTTTAGAGAGTGGCGCAAGGTTTCTGGACCAATCACATAGCGAAGTAAAGCAGTCTTGGATTACTTTCGGCTCTCGATTGAAAATTACGCTAATGTGAAAGCTCTTTTCCTTTGTTTTTCGGTTTTCTTTTACCCTTGGCACTTTCAGTGAATGATGATTTTTTTTCTTCTTTCTTTCTTATTTAAGACGCACGTTATGGAAGATGTCACCGATGCTGAGCCTGAGTTACCCGCATTTGCAAGTTTTATTGTGAAAATAATAACAAGCGCTCATGCCTTGTTGAGGTAATGATGTAGTTCAAATTGTTATGTGTCCTTGCGGTGAAAATTGAGTTCTCTCGTCTGATTCGTGATTTCGCTTTACGGTCTTTAGCGGGCACCGCTGCTCATTACATAATTGGCAGCCGCTAATGGTAAAAGTTATTAAAACCTCTGTTACTACGTTAGGGATAATACTTACATTGGATACTCAGCATCGGGTTATAAGATTCTTTACAACGGTTTCAACACTCGTAGCACAAATGACACTAACATTACTTATTTTTTTTGCCTTTTTAGATCCTTCTTGTTGGAATTGAAAGAGCGGGTGTTGTCCGGAGCAATCGATGAAAACATTGATCAACAGGAAGCTGTTATTTCACTTCTGGGAGCCCTTGGAGGTTTGAGATCACTCATGTCCTGTTTAGATTATTTTGCGAGGGGGTTGAACATTTAATGCAACAGCAAGTTTATGAATGTTTATCAATTTTTTTCTATTTGATCTAATTTAAGGCGATCATTGGAAACGATTAATCGTTTTAATAATATTCATGGTTTCCTTTCGGAACTTTGGAGCACTTTCTCTAATTCCCCTTCCGTTGCTCTCATATTTTCCTCCTAACAGATACGGTAAAAAATTGTCCAGGGCTCAGTTGTATAAAGGGCGATTAACGCTATCCAACGGTTAAATACTTATCTGGCGGATAAGTGATAGCAAATCATACAGCGTTATCCACCGGATAGAGTTTTATTCAGTGGATAGCGATGTCCAACCTTCGAACAACCAGGGCCAGAATTTATGAGAGTAAAAACCAGAGAGCCCAACAATAAAATTTGTCATCAACTGAGCCTAAAGCTATCTACGGGACTCAGCCTAGTGATCCAATGTATGAGTCAGAAAACTATCTTTCTGAAGTTCGTTATATCCTTTATCACCTTCAAATTTGTCCAGATTGTCTTAGAGACCAACTACTAGGAAAGTGTTCGATGTTGAGGGGGGAATGGGGAGAGAAATTTTTTGTGAGACAGTTCTCTTTTCCTCCTTCCTTCTTCAAACTTATGTAACAAACGAAATTGTTTTATTTCTTAATATTTTTTTTTCAGGAAAGGCTGATACAAATGCCATTAAGACTTGCGCTCTTCACATTAGCGAACAGTTAAAGACTTGTGACCTAGGCGGTGTTGGGAAACAAAGGTATGTTGTGGTTGTCGTTTTCTTTGTTGTTCTTTTGGTTGTTACTTTACCCTACCTCGTCCATGTTAGGACTAGAGGAAGAACAACGCCTGAAATGGTTAGCTGCAGTGTTTTGTTTAGAAAGGTTTTTTCCTTATTTCTTCGTTGAACATAAATGTTTGGGAGATGGAAGTTAAAACTCGTTCGGAGCGTTCCAACGGATATGAGTCTCAACCAACACATTGATTTACAACACCATTTGATTTGGACTTTGCAAAATGTAGCCGAGGATTTTTTAGATAACACTTTTTGGAAAACACTTCAACTTTACTGGTGAATTTGACAAATTATCTTTCAAGAAAAAAATAAGTGGCAGTTGACTGATAATAAAGCAAGGAACTCGACGTCTAAAGATGTGATTGTTTTTTTTTCAATTTCCACTGACATCTAAGTGATGTTGTCCATAACTTTACTTGTTGTTGTTATTATTATTATTATTATTATTATTATTATTATTTCTTCAGAGAGGACATTCAACGTGCCCGTTCACAGGTCCAAACATTTCTCTCCAAGTTGCAGATTGTGACATAAAAGGCTAAAACAGAGGGCTGATGTAACAGACTTTTTTTTAAAAGTAGCCTGTCGTGTCAAAATTCGTATATGACTTGTTTTTGTTATGAAGCATGTTATTTGAAAGGAAAGTGTCTTTAAGCGTTCTTCGACTGTATACACGTGGCTCGTAGTAGTTCTCTTGGAGGAAATTGCGATCTGAGCAACAACTTTAGTTAAGTTTTTGGCGCATTTGTTTGTTATGATGAACTTTAGATAAATGTTGAAATTCTGTCATAAAATACTTTCAAACTGGACAGGTTTGCAATAAAAATATTAATTCTGCGTCTATTATCAGTTTCTCCCCTCATAGCTTTGTTTGTGGGTCGGGCGGTTGTTGTAGTTACTCACATTTCCAGGAAATATTTTTCATTTATTGTACGATTCTTTTTTTGAATCCATTTTAGGCCCATATACTCCACGCAGAATAAATTTAAAAACGCAACACCGTGAGAGGACTAGTTATTTTTCGTCCTCATTACCGAGGCAGGAACTTAGAAATGCGTCGACTACTGTCCGATTCTAGACACTTGTGTCAGGCTTTAGGCTATAGAGTTTGATTTTAGACACCAGTGTCCGATGCTAGATACTAGTATCCAATTTTGGATTCTAGACACCAATTAGACACAACATGGTACTTTTCATAGAAAACTGCTCTCCAACCTGTCATATTTCGAACTAAGCAGGAGTTCCATCATAATATTTTGACATAGAACTCAGACAATGCTCTCGAGTGAAATGATTTAGTTTATTGGGGTAGTTTCACGCGACCTTTAAAAAGTCGAAATCGTCACAATGTAACGGCTTCCTGGTCAGAAAATTCTGGTGACAACAAAAATCAAGTGAGAAGAAAGTGAGCCGTGAAAGTGTGTGTTAATAAACCCTCCTCAAAATGGCGACTGGAAACAAACACTTAAAATAAAAACTGCACTACAAGATCAGTAAAAAAAACAACAAAACAAGAAAACAGAACAGAAAAAACAAAAGCACTCCCTATGGAATTATTTCACGGAGATTTGTCAAAATAAATTATTACTTCATCCAAGAAATCTTAATTATAATTCAAACGATATGAAAAAAACAAACAAGAACAAAACCATTCCCCATGGGATTATTTTACGGAGATTTGTCAAAATGAATTTTTACTTTATCCAAGAAATTTTAATAACAATTCAAACGATAAGAGACATGGAAGAAAAACGAAGTACTCGAAATATCCCACTATTCTGACTTGGAAAACGCCTTAAGGTTACATTTTTTTCAAATTGTCATTCGTCAAGAGAGCCTCATCTTAAATCGTTAAATTCAATTTCGGTCGCCTCTTTTGAGGAGGATCTGTTTGAGTCAGGTCTGGCATTTCGAGGTAATAAACCAGAAGCTTATCAGTTACACTATGTACTTGATTTGTATTAACATGCCCAGGCGAACCACAAGGCGAATCTGCGCACTCGCCTAAAGAAAAGACGAGGCGCTACAACAGCCTTGCATCCTGTTTTATCTTCGTGTGACTAATATAAACTCAGTGATATGTCATCATTTAATGAATATAAAACAAAAACACTCGCGGCGAACCATACAAAGTTCCGTAACACCCAAATAATAGAGAATCAAGTTCCCCTGACACACTGATAGAAGTAGATAACACACAGTTTTAACACACAGCTAACAGAAGCCTTGGTTCTAGGACCTTGCTATGGAGCCACCAGCCGGCATACGGGATGCAATTTCCTAATGAAGTGAATGAAAAAGAGTTAGTAATAATAATAATAATAATAATAATAATAATAATAATAATAATAAGCTTTATTTCAACTGATAAGACTAATCAGCAATCTAATAGATTGGCTGGTATGAACTAGTGATCAGCATGATAAATAGTATCAATCAAAATCAAAGGAGAAGCCCTATAAAGAACTAAAGTATGAATTAAAATAACATAAAATATATAGAAAAGCTAATACTTATTTCAAACTACATAAATGATTAGATTTATCGTGTTCTAAAAAATATTCAAAAACTATCACCTTGAATTTAGATAAAGACTGTATCTCTCGAATGTCCTTTGGTAAAAGATTCCACTCCCTAGCAGCAGTACATTTAAATGACGTTTGACCCATTTTGGTCTTTGTAGCAACAATGTTCAATAAGGTAGAGTCTCTAAAATCTCTGGTATGAAAAGCTGATCTCTTAAGGAGATAGTTCTCTAATTGCTGTGGGCAATTTATATTATGTATAATCTTAAAAACAAGATTAAGTCTTAGTTAAACTAAGGCAACTCGAACATCCTTGAATAACAGAGAAAAATTAATTTTTGCGCAAGAACAAATAGGCTCTCCACCCATCCACCCCTTCTTACTGCGTCTGTCGGTCGCTAAAAGGAAATTAAGTTTAGAGTGTTCATTTTTCCCTCCATTTTGTAAGGTATTCGACATCACCAGAGGATTCAGCTACGAGACGAACTCTTCTTTATGAACCTCACTTTTTAGTGACCCTACCTTCCTCCCCCCTCCCCCTCCCCCATTCAATCAGACGTGCGACTGTTTAGGCTGCCCGCCTGAACCAAGGCGGTTCTTTCAGCAACAGGATCGCGTATGACTATTCAACTTGAAGTATTTCAAATTTACTTAACTTGGCATATTCTTTGGCTTATTTTAGGGTCTGCCGCCAAAAATCAAACTCCTTCATCTGCCCGTGTTTTTTAGGACAATACCTCTAAGGTTGTTTTTGTCAATTTCGAATAGAGTAGTTTTCAATTCCGGTTTTTAACGCAAATACCAAACGGTCATCGCAAAGGCCAATCGGCTCAAACCTTCACATCATCATTAGCCAATGAGGACTCTAAGTCATAACACGCAATCTACCTAAAGTGTGGGAAAACGCGGTTGACCAGCTTGAGATTGGTTTTAGTCTTGCATCTGATTAATTGCGAGGGTGGCACAAGCTCTCCAAACCAGTCATGTACTTAAATAGAGCAAAACCGAAGCAATCTTGAATCACGTGAGACGTTGAGGCAGTTTTCAACCGAGCGTCGAAAGTAATCCAACATTATAAACGTGTGGCTTTACTTCGCTCTAAGAGTGAAATAGGAAATTTTTCGCCACTCTCTCAATCATTATATGAAACTGGCTAAAACCAATTAGGACCTGCCGGGTAACCCGCCTGAGGCAGCTGGGTTGTTTTTACTTAAAGTTCTCTCGCGATCTCATTTGTTCTTAACGCTATTTTCCTTTCTTCCTATCGTCCGTTGCATGTGGTTGTTTACTGAGTTTTGGTTTTACGACATTCAATCGAAAAGCGCTTCTTTTTATATTTGTTTGTGACTATAATGATACTCACCCTGGCTTCTTGAGCATATGAACACACTGGGCAGCACCAGTGAACCAGGCAGTCGTTAACAAACGTACCCTACGAATAAGATCCAAGTAAGTTTAAATACACCTAGTGAGTAGAGTATTAACAACTTAATTTCAAAGTCACGTATTTCTCACGAATGAACGAGCGCTAGCTTTCCCCCCCCCCCTCCATTGGCAGTTAATTGGAAGTCAATTCTTTGTAGTACCCCCCTTGATACCCTGTTGGTGACGACTGATTCTCCCTCTGTTTCCTCTTAAAACCACATGATCTCCGAAATCCCCCACCCTTCCCTCGCCAAGGCAATAAATAGTCACTGGCCCTTAGAATGCAGTGGTATAAGATCAGGAAATTAGCATGAAACAGATGGGTGCCTTTTTAAAAATCGGCAAGATACACATTACTTCTGCTAAATGTATAAAAGTTGCATTCAATGGCGGATCGAAATACCTTTGAGATCTTTCTTTGAAATTTCAGTTGACAAATTCTATAAAATTTGCTTTACGAATTCTCATTTTCCATTGACAGAAATACCTCTGAACGAAGGTTTTTTTTCGCTTTTTCAACATGAATGATTAAGCATACTCCTTACAATGTCAATGAACTAATCGCAAGTGGGTTATCATTTTCAACATCATTCAATTTCACCTGCTGATTTAAGTTATAAAAACAAATTTGCTTGAGTACCGGGTTCCTAAGTGAAATTTTAGTCTGGGGTTCATTAATTTGGAAGATAACTGTTAAATTAATTCCCGACCACCGACAAGACTTATTAAATATTCTAACAATGAAACGGTTCAAACCTCCCGTTTGCCAAAATACCGCGGAAACCTCACGCAATATCTTAACACAAACTTGGGTGACAACGATTCAGTACCGTATTTTGAATGACGCAAAACTATTCACGTTAACAAGAGACGCGATGAAATAAAACAAGGATGTTGCTGTTGGTACATATTTCCTAGATGCATGTTTTTTTTTTATTTAGAACAAACATAACAAATGTCTTTTTAAGCAAATAAAACTTTGATATGTTTTAACAATGAGATTGACACCAAGTCTACAATGATCTTTCGCCCGTTCCTCATTTTATCGTTGTTTTACAAGATTTTACATCTTTATGGTAAGTATTTCTCTTTTGTGCGCCAAAATTGAGGGACAAAATTGAAAATTTAAATTTATCGCCTCAAGAAAAACTTCATGAATGACTAATTTTCAATAGGAGGGTGGGGGGGGAGGGGGGGGAGATATAGCTTCACCTCACACAGAGGGGTATTGAATACTGACTCCGTAATAAATTTGAATAATCTTCTGTACAACACTGTAAATATAATTGTCCTAAGACCTTATTTCCGTTTTCCATTTCCTCTTTTCTCGTCTTCTTCCACTATTTAAGCTGTTATTTACACAGTCACTTCTGTAATCTACCCCACTGTTTTATAATCTCCACACTGATGCGCGCCCCTTACCAACATAAATAATTAGAGAAATATCATTAGCATTTGTCTCGTTTCTGATTGATCCTTTCCTTCCCTAATCTAATTTATTTTCTTTAGCCAATGCTCCACTCGCTTTGCCAGACATGGTCTGACAATTTTTCCATTTTTAGAGGTTTTGAGGATAACTCGATTATTTTAGATGTCTTGAATCCACGGCTTAGTGTTTCGTGATATATTCAAAGTCGTTTTAGACATAGCTTTGTTTTCATAAAGTGATAATTAATAATTGATTCAAGAACATTCACGCGAGTGAATTGCAATCATCTTTTGAAGTGTCCAGCGATCCTTTCACGCTCTATGCGCTATATTTTCAAATTTTGTTTTTGTTAATGTTAAGCTTTCCACCATAAAATGAAAACCAAAGCTTGTTGAAAAAAGTTCGCACGAATGCAATTCACAATAGTTCGTTAAATCGTTCGATGCCCTGAAAACTATCCAGGCTGTGTTCTTAAGTTTGCGCACTTAGATCGAGTAAATTCTTCAAACTGATCATATAAATTACCAGCATAAAGACGGCAATGCTTGCAGAGAAATCACGTGTACATGAAGCACGCGATAGACCTCTCAAAGGGTCTATCTCTTCTTATTTCAGCAGTTCATTAAAAAAATTAAACTATTGCTCATTGTCAACACATGATTCTGACATGATGCTGTACCCTGAACTTTTCATTCGGTCACACACTTGATTAAGTCCAAATAAAGGCCAACATACCGGAATCTGATACATCGCCCGGAGTTTTCCACGGTTTTGCGCACCGCAGTATATTCCAATCGGCCCCATTAAGGAGCAGAAACCGTGGTAAAAGCAACCTTCTCCAAGAGCTTCACCAACTTGCCCTGCAACGATGCATGGGCAGAAATACGCCTTGATGCAGATTCCAACATTTTCGAAACAGCCACAGAGACCACTCGACCAGTCGCTCATTCTTAAATTTTCCGATCACTGCTCAAAGGTTTCGTTTTCCTCCCCAAACGTGATGGTGTTATGCTTCGAGGCAACAAGCGGTTACAGGTTGAATATTGTTTATAACTTGTGTTGCCCCGCGACAGTACAAACAATATTTCTCATTGGTTGGCCAAATGAACCAGACGACATGTTAATAAAACATAACGATGACGACCTCTGGCAGAACTTTGTCGTGTTGATTTTCAAAACTGTATGTGACCAATAAATAATCAAAAAAGATAAACAAAGTGTTGGCGTCCCTGAAACAAAAAATCGGTTACTATCGACAAGTGGATCATGAAATTTTTGTTGACTGTCTCCAAGAACGTCCCAAGCTTTCCTTTTTTAATCATTGTCTTCATTGGGTCAGTTATCACTTTTCATGTTAATTTTTGAGGACCCTGCCTTCTGAGAAACTTTAAAATTCGAACAACAAAAATCAGATTTAATGAAATAAGCATGGAGAATCGAGGTTGCCTTTACTTATCTCCTAACGCGCTAAATCCGCATCGCTAATAAAAACTACCGTGAAGAAAGAAGTGTAAGCAAAAACTTCATAAATTGACAACTCAATATAACGAAGAAAAAAAAGATGAATACTGGGTGAGATAATATAAAACAATAACAGAAAAAAGGAAAAACTTATTCGTTTGTTTATTAAAACGGACAGTATGTCGAAGGAGTACAGTTCCCCACTTCAAACTGTCCCGACCAATTTCCAATTACTTTGGGTGTTTTTATACCGCAGGAAATCGGCTTTGGCACTGAAGCGAAAGTAAGTGTCATGAAACCTAAACAAAAATAAGCACAAAGGCCGAACAGCGAAAAAAAGAAGAAAAACAGAGATCTATTGTCTTCCCAAGGCAGATGGAAATTAATGGCCCGAGTGTGGGAAAACGCTACTAACCTAGCTTTATTAATTTTCAGACAATCTGCTTGTTTGACTTCGTTTATTATCTTGATGTCAAATTTCTTACATTGATTTCATATTCCAATGGTTTGCGACATACATTTTACCATGCTGCCAACGGGATCCCCTACGTTTCAACACTTTGAAAATCCTTCAGCTTTTTGCAAATGGAGCCTTAAATTTCAAAGTTAATAACTAGTTTTCACCATTGTTTCTTTTAACAAAGAATTGTAATCATGTTTAGGTGGGGGTTCTGAAATCTTGCCACAATGACATATTTTGTTTTGGCAGAATACGAGAATACATGTAATTTGAATAGGATATACTCTTTCTGTTTTTGTTTTTTCTATCGGTCTATTTAAGACCGAAAAAAATCAGAAGTGTTTGGGGTTACCGAAAAATCTATTAACGAATAAAAAAACAGCTATTTAGCGCTGAAATTTAGTGCAACCAAATTAGCCAATCAAAACTGAGCCAAGTAATCCCCGTGGTGAACGCGTGCATCTTAACTAGTTATGTTTGGCGAAGAACTTGGGCTTCGACAATTGACGTATCACTTTACTTTCCAGCAGTTTTCCGTTTTCACAATTTGTAGCAACGCTTAGTGCATCATTGTTAGTAAAGGGCATCAGCAAGTAAAAGCATGTTCACGTTTACCTGAAGTCAGTAATATTTCTTGACGGATTATATTCAAATAGCTTTGGATCTGTACAGCGTAGTCTTAGGTTATGATTCGATAACGAAAATTTAAAGTGTACATACCATGTCGAGAGATGTTTTGCAAACTAAAAAGAGCTATCTATTTTTCTAAGAATTACTAATACTCTGCTTGTTATTCTGCCTTCTCGAAGTTTCCAGTAAAGACAATTTGACCACGTGTTATGGCTTTCAAAGACTTTATTTACAGCCAAATGTTCTATCTCATTTTAGACGTTTATCACATCGTTATTGATAGAGTTGGTCTCATGTCTCTCAATCGAAGACAGAACTATTACATGTGACTCAAAGTTAAGAAAGGTCTTTCAAGTGATGCATATATGGAACTCTTTTTAGTGTCCGCTCAACTTCAGGATGTCCTAATTACCGAACTCTGGCTTGTGCGAAACTCTCAGTCACCTTAAACGAGCCAAAAAAAGAGCGTATGAACGGTTAGGGGAGTTAGGGTGGAGAGCTCGGGTTGCGCAGCCGTTTCCCTGTCGACCGCAACCGCTGTTTCTCGTTCAATAAGATAAAATAAAACATAAACTTGTTTTCACTAAGTTGTTTTTTGGTACGCGCGACAAAACATATTACACCATTAAATTTTAAATTATTTGAAATAACCAATGAGCGCGCTCCTAAAATTGAACAATTAAAATGAAACAAAGTAATTTCGCGCGCAAGGGCGTTAATGCCAACTGCGTATTTTCAAGGTTTTTTGATCAATTCCATAAATGTAGAAAAGGCCGCAACAGCCTCGGAAACGTTTCCACTCAATACAGAGTATTCGCTTCAAGGAGGGGTACGCAATGCAGGTCCCATGATGTCTCCTTGTTTTGATCGTCACTGAAATGTCAAGACAGCTACGAATCTACCAACAGGTCGGGTATAAACCGACACAAACTGGGTACGAATCGTCTGAATTTGGGTACGAATCGATAAGGTACGAAACTTCCGTGGGAGCCGAACGACCGAATGGATACCAATCTCATTGTAGTGTGCACCTCACACTGACCACAATGAAATTACCTTGACTCACTCTTTGTTTTTCTTTATCCCACTCGCATATTGTATGACCGGTCCCTGCAATAAGTTTTCCCGTTATTTTTGAGGCGATTCTGAAGACTGACTGGTCCACGAGACATTAGTGCAGTCGTCCCTAGCCCGTAAGTGGGAAACGTGCGCGTAATTTATGACGTATTGTCATTAATACTTTATTACAAATTAGAACTTTATGACATGGACAGTAATTAACAATTATCTTCAATCAAGGTGATTCTTTGCTTCAGAATTAATGTTTTCCCACGGGATAGAAAGATATATTAACTGAACAGGCATTGGTTATGCTAAGTTTGCTGGGAAAATGGATTTACACACAAGACGAAAACGCCGAAAATTCTCCACAAAAATGCTTCTTTGCCGAGGCAGAGGAAGGAGAGTGGTTGCTTGTCGACGTCGAACTGACTGAAGAGGAAGTGCTGATTTTGAAAGACTACGTCGTTATAAATGAGCAAAATGTGGCTTCAGTTATCACGCAAAAGAAAAATTGTGGCATGCGGCCGCCGGGTGGCCCGGTCAATCAAGGAAACGTCGAGAAATCTCAGAAATACTTTCATGGAAAAATGATGTCTCGCCTAGTTCCAAGAAAGATGATGGAACCTTACAAGATTATGCGACCTTTAAAATGGAGCAAGCCCTTGGATGAAAAGTGCAGCGCTTATAAATTTAAAAAGATTAATTCCTGGTTAGAAATTTTGTCTTCCAACGTGCCGCGAACCTTGGGAACAGTGGAAAGTATTCGTGCTGTACGTGTGAATGCAAAAAGGTAACAATAATGAAAAATATGGCAGTTCACGGCTATCGATGCATTTGCCCAAAACGAAACCGGTTATAACTCTCAGTAAGATTAGTGAATTAAACAAAAAAAGCTTCAGATAAAGCTTGTTGGAACTGTACGATTCACTGGTCTATAGTTAAAAAGGCACGTGCAATACAATGCGCGCAGCTGAGTATTCATCATATGATTTGACATTTGAGCGTTCAGCTGGTTTTAAATTGTCCAAAAAATGTCCGTAAGAGAACGTGAAACATTTAATTATTCGGCTAAACAGCCTCGTGTGTGATATCTCTCGAGATTCACAACCCACTTGAAAATTTGGTGCTTAATCCAAAGGCAATATCTTTTGGATGAAAACCTATAACCCATCTGCTGGTGTGTTAAAACTTTTGGGAGGGTGGGTCAGATTTTCTTCTGTCCCGCCACGCTCGTGAAACGATGTGAAAACATCTTTTCTTTTGAGTAGGAGGCAGTTTCCAAGACTTCTTGCAAAAGTAGTCAAAGAAGTTACCTATATAACGAGCGTTACTTGTAAAAATTTGAAAGGAGTATCATTTCTCTGCAGCCTTAAGTCACCAGACACGCTTGGAATGCAGATGGAAAACCCTGAGCCGGTGCTTGAACCAGTCAAACTACAACCCAAACAAGCGCTCATCGAGAACCTGAGCACAGCTATCGTAAAATTCGAACCATCGCCCATCAATAAATTGCTGTGGGACCTACAGGACATCAAACGCGAACGGAGCTTTGACTTTCTGGCAAAAGTAAGAAGCGACTCGTGCGAGGTACCACTGCGCATGACTGTAACCCAGGGTAATGCGTGCGACAGACTATCGATCAGAAAGAGACGTAAGTTTAACCCAGTCATAAGCACCTCTGATTTGCTCGCGGTTAGTCAAGTTGATTCTGAGCATGCGCACACTCCCAAGCCTCTGCTTGCAATAGAGTGGCAGCCAGAACGATCAAACCACGAGTCAGTCATGCAAGAATCAGTCGAGAATCACCACGAGTCAGTCATACAAGAAAGTGATCGTTCCGAAGACGATGAAGGCGACGACAAGTGGTTTATGAGGCCAGCGTTACCTATGTTCAGCGATCTCTGTGAAAAGACCTCTCAGCTCTCCGCAAAATTAGGGCACCAAATCCCCAGGGCCGCAATGTTCCTATGGGCGCAGATCCTGCAGCTGCTGTCCTGCAGCAAAAGGCTCCTCTCTCTGAAAAGTGCCGTGGAACAGGTTCGTCCCAACGCCATCATTCGTGAGCCTCCTCAGAGCCGCTTCTTGAGGAGTGTCTCTCGCAAGGATTACTGTGAAGAGAGGGTACGCGCTTCAGTGGAAAAAAGGACCAAGCGACACGACACTAAGAAAAACTTGAAGCGCACTCACAGGGCTTTGACACAGAAGTACCTCAATGACAACAACCGAAAAAGGGCCATGGACTCTAAAAGGTTCCAAGGGGCTTGTGGGAGAAGGGGGTGTTAACTCCTCGATCTCAAAATTACTGCAAATACAAAATGAATCATCTGTCCCTCTCACGATTCTTCCAGAAACTGTTCGACTTTTTAAAGTTCACGCTCATTCCATCTCTTGTTAATGGCATCAAACTTTGACGACATACAATGCCACCTCACTGCCCTTAGTAGTGTGCGTGAGTCAATGGTATCTAAGTGTCTCGCTTTCTCCACACTGTAACCAAAATAAAACTAATCAAAAAGTATCTTCGAACAATCTCAAAAGGTCAAAATTTCCTGCAGCAGACAGATCTCCCATGTGCAAATTATCAACCTGACCAGCGATATTTCTGACCCCAAACTCAATCAAAATAACATTAAAAAAATAATAAAGCAAAATTAAACCACAAGACGAGTGTTATTTCTCATATTTACTACTTCGAATATTCGGGATCTCGAGAAATGGCCTGCATACAATTCTTCACACTATGTCCAATGTCCAGAAAAACTTTGACTATAAACGAACTGTTAAGGTAAATCTAGCTAGCGAGAAGATTCGGCATCACGTGCGGCGAAGACTCCCCGAAGTCATTTGTCGAAAGCCTTTCGCACGCTCACTTTGCCCGCCAACACGAAACTCGCGGGCTTCACCACTTGTGTCGCGGCACAAATGAGAATGGGGGAAATCAATTTCTTCCCAGCTACGAAAGACAGTCAAGAATTGAAAGGACTTTGTGTGATGTTGCTTTTAGACACAGTGAAAGAGAAAAATATCTGCAAGCTGGCTAGTCTCTTGCGCAACCGTTGTTTGGTTCGTCACGCAACATACTTTCTCCCAACAAACGAAACGTATTGCGTGACAAAAGTAAACAACGGCTGTCATTGCTCTGTTCGAATGTTTCTGTAGTTATTGTTTCTCATACTGGCGTTTAGTCTTCCCATTTGATACTTTAAACTCCAATCACGTTTTACTTTCATTTGCCTACTCTTGCTTCAACTGCAGCAGTCTCTCTTCCTCTTCCTGGAGAAGTTGCAGTTGAATTGTGAGGCTATGAATTTTTTCATCCACCAGTGAGCTGTGAGTCCTAGTGGTCAGTTTTTGATACGCCCAGTCATACCAACCCTACATATAAACGAAAAAGGAAATAAGAGAGCAATTTGGGGCAGAAAAGAAACAAATCAAGTAATAAAAAATATAAAAATAAGTAAATAATAAAGTTTTTCTCTTGTCTATCAATCCTTTCACCCCTAAGAGTGACTACAAAGTTATGAGAATGGAGCAAATGATCACTAACTAAGGAAGCTCTTGCTTGGTAAACAAATTCTCCTCGTCATGAAGAATTTGCACACTGATGTTAGGGTGTAAAGGTGTGCGATAGCCTGTGAGACAGATGTGACTATTATTAGTTTGCATTTTCAGAGAAGCAGCAGCAAGTGCAAGGAGAGCTTAATGGATGACAGGACACACTTGAAAGGGAGAAGCCCTGTCTTATCTTAGCCCTTTTGCTCTTCTCAAGTTTGCCCCTACTTGCCTAGGAAATACCAAAAAATTACACTTGCCCTCAGGCTAACATTATAATCTTGTACAAATACAGAGCCAGAGTTACTTCATGCTCCTTGGAGACCAGGATGAGCCGTGGTTGGGTGGGCCAGAGGGCTTGAATACGACTTTACATTTACATCTGTGTGTGGCTGATACATGGACATACAGCAAATAAATTATACATAAACAAGAAACTTACTATTTCACAAGCTTTAGCATTAGCCACCAGTTCAGGATAATGATATTTGATTCTTTCCTCTAAAATCCATTGCTGGCACTTGTAAACTGACCATTGCCCTAACACCAAACAAAGTTGGATCATCTTAGAACACAAGCCAAAAAAAAATTCTCACATGTCTACTAAGTGCAGACTATTTTGGAGATCATGTTGACAATAAAACCAAAGCAGAAGTTTAGTTGTGAACTCCATTGGGTAAGTCCATGAAAAAAATTTCCCTGGCTTACTCTTTAGATCCTCATTAAATTTCACAATTACAACCTAAATCAAAATGAAGGGATTAAATTAAGCTTTAAACTAAAAGATGTTTGTACCAGTTTCTCATGTGATTGACCAAGAGATTAAAAAACCATGTCAGTGATTTATTTGTTGACTGACACAATTTAAAATGGCTGTAAACAATACACTTGGAGTAACATGCCAAAGCTGGTTATGTAGTACTAGATGCTTACCAACTACTCCCAGTACTAAACCTTGTAAAGCTGTACTGATTGCCACACTAAAGCCTCTTCCTGTTGAAACACAATGATGAAGACAGATTAAAAATAAAACCTTGAAGACTTGAATTAATCAACCTTTAAATTCTCCTTATGATATAATTACTTTAATATCACAAGTGATGAACCTCAGCCATTGTCACTCTCTTGGGATTTCACAAAGACTCTGAGTGCCTCTCTCTCCACCCGGGGATAAAATGGGTACCAGAGAGCTTAAAACATGTTAAGTGTATCTTGCAATGGGCTGAGTAGTATCACATTCAGCAGTAATAGCAATACAACCATACTCTGAACATTCAGCAGATTTGAGGATCTGTACATGTGTTTTTAGTAAGTTATCCAGCTGAAACCAAGATAACATAGGTCATTACAAAATTACTCCTTTTTTCAGAAGAGTGAATAATGCATGTAAAAGTACCTAAGGTAAAAGAAAGCAATAAACCACTGATTCCACCACTAATGGCACTGGCTTGAGTACCAGTCATTGCTTCTTTTCTTGCTGTCATGTTGGGTTTCCCCTGAAGTTCATCCAGCATTCTTCTCCATTTATAAGCCTTTGATGACACTAGAAGATTCTCCCGCAAAACTATTATGATAGAAAAATGAAGGAAAAGAGAAGAGAGAGAAAAGAAGATTTAGACCTCAATCTACAACAGTTCTACAACAAAGCTTGTAAAGGCTTACTGGGGGTATTTGATCAAACTTACTGTCAACCAGTATGATTATGCCTTGCCAAGATTTGTTTACAGAGTACGTTTAAAAATGAAGCTTGAGGGGTGCAGAGTGTCCATGTAAATCTGTGGTGACCAGAAGAGAAAGACTGAAAATAGCTCCTGACACAACTGTGCTTTTGCCTTTTTCCCCACTAATGCATACCCCTGACATGTGTAACTCTCCAGAAGAGTAATATCACTCTTTTGCTCTTGTGTTTACATACTGACCAAGTGGGATAAGAACAATGCTCAACATTATGATAGCAGCTTCCAAAAAGGTGAGTTTCATAGATGTGGGTAGCAGCTTTCAGTTACTATGCACAGAGCTTCTGGGAATTGATATATCAATTTTATCATATTTAGACATTTTTTTTTATCTTCCTTTACCATAAATGTTGGCATCACATTAAAATTTATATTACATCAAATATTGACTCACCATAAAATGCACCAGAAATAACAAAGACACTAGAGCCAGAGGAAAGAGCACAAAGGATTGGTGGCTGCTTCTTGACTACTCCAAATATATAACCAATACTTGCACCAGTCATACCTCACAAAAATAAATACATTGTATGTCAAGAGAAAACAATTCATACTGTAAAGCAGCAGAGATCATTGTTATCTTTCTCAACAAGCTGCTAAAAGGATACTGTACTCACTTGACCCTCTTACTTCCATGAGTGACCAAGACAGAATTTCTCTTTACAATGTCAATACAATATTAAGTGGTAATGTGATGAGAATAAAGAAATTGAGGGATGACTAGTTGATCCAAAACCAAATTCTCCAAACTAACATCATATAAATCGTATAACAAACAGTAAGGGGAATTTCTAATGAATCTTGGGAGTAAAACAGCGAAGGTTCCATAGGATACTACAAAAAGAGGTACTGTAATTAATAAGTTTCAGAAACCACATGATTTTTATCTCTACAATTTAAACAAAATACATTAAAATATGACAATGTTCCCTTTGAAATACTGAATCTCTCACAGGATGAGTGTCAGTTTTAACTCATTTTATTTTCTTGTAATTTACTTCTTAAATCTTTGTTTCATTATTGCATCATTTCTACAAGGTAGTTTTAATTAGGCATTTAACTCCCACAAGTGACCAAGACAGAATTTCACCCTACAATATTAATACAATATCAAGCAGACAAGTGATGAGAATGAAGAACAAATTTCAATTAGGGAATTACAAGTTGATCCAAAACCAAATTCTCTAAACTAACATCACAAGAACTGTATGGCAGAAAGTAAGGAGAATTACTAATGAGATCTTGGGAGTTGAAGGTTGAGCATTTGCTATCTATTAAATAACACCACAAGCAGTAAAGGTTCAATTCCCTTTGTGTTTAAAATAAAAGTCTAACAGTAATGAAAATAATAATGATAATAATAATAATAATAATAATAATATAATAATAGTAATAATAAAATGATAATAATGATAACAATAGCAATTATTATAATAATTGTGACAATAATGAATATAATGATTATAATCTAAAATGATTAAAAGAGCAAGACATATCCCCTTGTGATGGAGGAATCATGACGTGTGATTAAAATAACCTATTACTATTTTTCAAAATGAGCTCAAATTGAGCCGCTTAAAATACAACCACTACGAAAAGAAATCCTTCAAACTTAAACTGTGTAGCTGAGATTTTAACACGACTTACCAGTCAGGGCAGCATAGCCCACTAATCTTTTAGCTCGTTCTGAGTCACGACGTGCCGTGTTGACTAGAAGACCTCCTCCAGTTCCAGCGATAACTGGTGAAGAAGGATGAAACTGTAATCAAAACTGATCGCGAAAATGAGGATGCTGTGATCTCAGAGAAAGGTTGAGATTCTGTAAAATCCAGGACAGTTTTCTCCTTACCCGCCAAAGCTAAATTCCTGGCGAATTGTCCTAATGGTTGGCCGTTAAAAGTCCTCACCATCGTATAATTATCCTTATCTAAGCACAAGCTAAAATATCAAGCTAAAACTTATTAAGTATTATGTAGGGGTATTTCGCCGCCATCTTGTTCTAATGCGCCCTCGCAACAGAGCACAGCGGACCATTATTCTATTTATAAAATTCCTACTGTTTTATACCCAAAGACGAATATGGCGGCAGTTTCGGATGGAAATGGAAAGTCGTTAGAAGAAGTTGATTATGATTTGCAAAGACATCTGACAGGTGTGAACACACGTACGCCTGACCTTTCTACTCTAGCACAAAAGGGAGATGAAAAAGTGAGGATAAGGCGCTCATAGTTTTATTTTCGTCGGTGAAACAGCTTATATCTGTGTGTGATTAGATCTTTGATGTGCAGAATTTTCTTACGAATTGACTTAAATCTACTTGTTTTATTTTTTATCCTTGTACTTTTGTAAAAGCTTGTCGAACAGTTTATGACTGAAGATGTTCAAATCGGTGGAGGAGCGAATGAAAAACTTCAAAGTCAGCTGTATATTGGTAAATATGCATTTTTGTGGCTAGCCTACATGTATTTCCGAATTCTTGCGCACTGCCAGTCCTCTTTAGTAAGCGCTGTCCCACAGAGAATTGGATAATAAATAGGTAGCAGTAATTAGTTTTCTGATAAAATCGATGACTTGATTAGTAAATTTTATTGTTCATTATTCTTTACATCTTAACATCCGTGAGTAATGAATTTGTTTATCTTTACTGCCAAGGCCCAAAAATTTCATTAGCCCTCTAACTCCCACAAGTGACCAAAACAAAATTTCTCCTTAAAATATCAGGCAGACAAGTGATGATAATGAAGAAAAACATCAACTATGTGATTATTGCATGTAGTTAATGCAATACCAAATTCTCTGAATGGACAAAGAATTGTATGCAGACAGTAGGGGGAATTGCACAAATGGACTGAAGCAGAGAATTGGAGCTTGGAATGTTGATTTGTGTGATTGGAGAAAAGTTTGAGAACCTAGAATAAAGCCAATAAAAAATTCAACTCAGTTGTGACACCAGCATGGTGCATCCTGAATACAATGAATAGTGTAGATCCATGTGCAGGCTGATGTCTTCAGTGAAAGGCAAACACACTCGCTACCAAGTCAACCTGGATAAGTGGCAAGGATTAGATTAGATTATACTTACTCATACAGGCTTAAACTGGGCGATTATTTTGACTGATATGGACAATCTTAACAGTTTTTATAGAATGTAATTAAATTACAGGTATCTTGCCTAACTCTGTTTCATTTCCTCTAAGTAAAGTGTAGTTGGCTGATAGATGTACATGTAAGCAATAAAAATAAAATTTGACATACATGTAAAAATTCTTAAAACACAAGCCTCTGATCCTACCTTGCAGTTCCTCCCTCTTTTACAATAACTCCTTCTTATGCATTGAGTTTAGTTGAAACATCATGAAGTGGTATTGAAACATTCCTGTCTCAGTGTTGTTCTCCATGTTTAAAACTTGTAACAACAGTGTGCTTCAACTTATAGTTTGTAATTATAAGATTAAATAAAAACTCTCTTTTTTGCATCAAAAAATCCTCTTTTCTCTTCCCTCTTCTCTTTTTATATTAATTTTATTGACATTACTCTCTTGTTTCCAGCATGTTTCTGGGGCTTTTATGATGTAGTGAAAACTCTCCTCGACAAGGGAGCTGGTAAGTAATTACTAAGTATAATATCAAAATTTATGTTTCTGTAGCTAATCATTATCACCTGAAGAGTCTTTAATTAAAATGGACATGTTTCAGATGTTAACGCACAGAATAGGGACACATTATGGACCCCACTACATGCTGCAACATTCCAAGAGCATGGAAAGGTATGCATTACCCTTTGTATAGTATTGTGCTTTACTTGCCACTTAAGCAGAATTAGGTCCAGTAGCAGAGAGCTATGAAGCAACTGCTGTAAACCTTATGTAAACTGAGGGCAAGTGTGAACCCTTTAACCCTCAAGAGTGACTAGCATCTAATTTCTCCTTACAATATCACCCCCTTGAATCACATGTCAAGGTCATGAGATTAAAGGAAATGATCACCAACTGTAGAAGCTCTTGATTGTTAAACAAATTCTCCTTGTCAGCTCCTTAGGAATTGTAGAGAGAACAGTATGGAGAATATGCGTACTGATGTTAGGGTGTTAATGGTGAAAGAGTACCTATCTACATGTACATTTACATGTACCTATCCTCCTTGCCATTTACTGATATTTTGTGATGGCACATGTACCTAAAACAATTGTTCCAATGTCTAATTTTGAATGAAAAAATTTCAGATTGTGATGCTACTTTTGGAGAGGAATGCGCAACCTGAACTCCCAGATGGTGAAGGAAGGTACAATTATGGTTCTCTAATCAATACCAAGTCAGCCTATTTGTGGGCTGTTAAAATGTCTGCAGCATTTCACTTTGTTACTATGAGCCTTTGACCAATTGTGAACTTGAAGCTGATTCACACTTCTAAACCTGTTAAAATTAAATGGTTTATTGTGCATTCAATTCTACTCAAAACTACAGGAAATGGCATGTTTTCTTTTTCTTTCCTTCTTTCACACATCTAATTCACACATCTAAACCTGTTAAAATTGAATGGTTTATTATGCATTCAATTTTACTCAATACTACAGGAAATGGCATGTTTTATTTTTCTCTCCTTCTTTTTAGGAGTGCAAAAGACTTCGCTTCAGCTTCAGATAAAGTTTGGCCACATTTTGCAGGTACAGTACACTAAGTAAACTCTCAAGAACACACACTGTTTTGTTTAAAAGATAGTTGTTTCTCTTCAATATTCATCTTCTTTTAGTTCTTACTTCCTCTCCCACAAGCATCATGCACCTGTACCCTTCCCACCCTCACTACCGGTTTACCAGGCACTCGGAAGACTTTTTGGGGCCATGCCAAAATGATGAAAATATATTTACTTGTCAAACATTATCTAGATTGGAGAGTGCTACTTCATTCTCTTTTTCGAATGTTTAGCTCTGAACTGCCCTCGAACATCAAAACAGGAACTGATAGAGAAAGGAATCATAAAAAAGGTGAGGGAGACAAGATTCATGAAAGGAAATGGTCATCTATTTGCATTTGATTTAAATGATGCTCTATCAATTCAAGAGATACGTCTTCTGTATGTTACATGTTTGCTTTGTTCTTTCAATTATGGTGGATTCCTGAACAGAATGGTGGCTCTCACATTGGTACATACCTACACATTAAGGTTATGATACTGCATGAAATTGTAAGTTAAGCAATCATGCCAGGTACAGAGGAAACAGAGGATCAGAATTGTAGAATGAAAAAAAGCTTCTTGTTTGAAAGTACAGTAAGAATTGTTGTAAATTTGAGCTTGGTCACTGAACAGAGAAATATGGTAACTCACAAACTTGGTATGTGTGGGAAAAGGTTATCTTACACAACCACAGTCACTTTTTTTTTAATTTAGTTAGAGGAAAGTTCCAGAGGAGGTTCATCAGGAAGGCCTGGATCAGGCCCAAAAGCGAGAATGGTGAAGTGAAATAAACACATGATTTGTCTTGTTTGCTGTAGATAATAACAGTTTTTGTCATTGTGAATTGAAAATGAGGCACTGAATTGGCTTAGAGAAACCAATCGTCTTATCCGAAATTTTGGCTCAGTTTTAAAGGAGCCTTTAGCCCTTTGACTCTCAGAAGTGATTAATATGTAACTTCTCCATTAAATATCCATACAATTTCCAGCTAACAGGTGACGGTTGTTTTCTCGATCTAACACCAAATTCTCGTAACAAATTTACAAGGAAATGTTTGTTAACTCGATGGGAGAATTAATAATCAGATCTTGGGAGTTAAAGGGTTAGTCCCCTTTTCAGCTGTCATTTGCTGTTGGGCTCTCTGTGCATGAAAATGGCCAAACGAGAACTGGAAAACCTTACCTAAACACAATTGAGTAACGTCGTTGGCGCGTGATTGAATATAATTATCGTAAATACAGTTTAGGTACGTGAACGTAATGACAGTAATAATAATAATAATAATAATAATAATAATAGTGACAGTCTAGGCTGTGAACAATACTGGGGCTTTCTGTAATGTGAATGTCACTACGGAAATATACAAGTTTGTAAAAGCTTGTTGAATACTAAGTCCATAGAGAAAGATATTTTTTCGTTTTTTCACGAGCGTGGGACAAAGAAGAACTTCTGAGGCCTCATGAGGAATCGAACCTCGGACCTTCGTAATCCGCGCTCTGATGCTCCACCACTGAGCCACAGAGACTCTATGGTGATCAAGGCCCAGTTCGAAGTTTAAATATGACACGCGTCTTGCATACAGCTAGGATCAGCAATGTCGTTAGCGTCGTGTTTTGTAAAAATAAGAAAGATGGTAAGTTTTGAGCTCGTTATTGTCATGTTTCGGAAATAGCAGGGCGTGAAATTGCGCCTAATACAGGCGCCAATGCGACTAAATTTTTCACTTTGGCGACCAAATCCTGAAAGTTAGTCACCAAATTGGCGACTACAACGTTTCATCATAACCTTACTAAGAGATATAGTGAATTAAATAAATTTGCAAAGATAAATCCGCGGCAAACTTCCTCATTAAGTTTGTTTCCAAAACGTAGCACATGCATCTCGATCGATAACTAGACGCCATCTTGGATTTAGATGAGCCTGAACGTTGTATATCATACATCCTAGTGTCCACTTTGTAGCACGTTAAAGATCTTTTCCCTAACTTAATTTTGGAGGGTCTATCTAGAACGCTGACAGCGTAAAGAAAGATTTTGTTTGTCTTTGAAAATGGCGACCAACTTTTTTTGAATTGGCTACCACTTTGAAGAATTTAGGAGCCAAGTGGCTATCAGAAAAAAAAGTTCACGCCCTGAATCAAATAAGAAATATGGTAAGTTTTGAGCTCGTTAGTGTCATGTTTTGGAAATAGAATAAGAAAGTTACCAAGTTTTGAGTAAGTTTTTTCTCAAAACTTGCCATATTTCTTATTCTGTTCACAAACTAAGTTCATGTTTGTATAACCTCTCATGACCCAGTTTTATATTTATTTTTTCGAGCCGATTCCTTTACCTTTTGCTTGTACGGACTATTGATCAAAAAATATTCTCCATTTTTTAGGCTGCGTTTTCTCGACCAGGGTCAGCATATGTATTGCAATCAAATCCCTTTGCGAAGAAACATGTGAATCAACAAAGCTCTGATTTTCCTCTTGGTAAGACCATGTTCTAATTGTAACTATATGACGGTTGTTAGCCTATGTTGGGATGAAACTTGCAGTCAGGTTAATGGAATGTCTAATGCAGTCTTCCTGTAAAGGTTCTGAGTGTGCTTCGTAACTCTAAGAGAGTCTGAACTTTCTTCATCTTGAAAGTCTTACGTTATCTCTTTGTTGACAGGCGGTCCCGTTGATGGCGATATCTTGGCAGAAACGAACAAGCCAGGTCAAGTTGAACATGACAACAAGCCAGCATTTTCTGTTTGGCGAACGTGAATTACTTTTAGTACTTTTAATTCCATTTTTCCCGATGTTGTTGTAAAGTTTTAGGGTGAAATTTACTCCAATGAATCGTTACTGACTGGCGGTAACCCTTGAAAGTTATCCTTCCGACAGAAGTTGTGTATGTCCAAAAAATGGTTATGCATACTGCAATATTGAATTTTTTATAACTTTGAGAATTGTTGCCAATAATTTTTTGTACAACGTAAAAGAGCATAAAAATTGTGTTTCATGAAATCATACGTTTCTCGTTTTCTGTCGTTCAAATTGTTTTCTGCGCCTCCACCAGTAATTTTGTTTTATGATCTCTACGGATAAAAACAATCGTACTTTCCTTTTTTCTTCATGTCGGCGCATTTACTAACTACAGGAGAGGTCTTAACTCGTCATGGGAGAGAATTAAAATGATTCTCCTTTGTAGAGATTATTCCAAAGGTAAACGCTATTGAACTGAGGTATTACTTTTTTAGACACATGCATCTCACACGATCAGTTCTTTTGAGAGGAGAGATTAAATAGAGGCTCAGGGTTTGTCTTTGTGAGCAAGGTTCGCTTCTTAGAACGAGATATGCACACAACTGTGAAAATGGAGAATTTGACAAAATTGTGGGAAGGTTCGAGAATGGAGGAACTTCCAGACTATTTTAAATATATGCACAATTCCTCCACCCCAGGCAGAATACCTCTTTCCGAATGAAACTTGTTTAGTGGTCTACTCTTTATGGAGGATACGTTTATGGTAACTTAAGCTTGCATCGGTCTACATAATCAGACACTTGCATTTGTCAAAAGTGGTCGTGGAAGATTCGCTTGCAAGGCGTTGTCCCGGCTGAAAAACTCTCATAGCGCAAGTGTGAAGGGGATAATGAGTTGTGGATCCAACTGAGTAACCTCTCTTTACTGGTATTTTATGATCTGTTTGCTCTTGCCATTCATCTTTGTCAGGGTCGTAGCAGTGAATTTTAATTCCCAGGTAACTCATGCTCTTAAAATAATCGTCCAAGACACAAATCTTCTCATCAACGCACAGCATACTGCCATGCCGGGACCGTGGTATTCTCATGTTTGCAACGAAATGCCATTCATCCGTTGCCTCGCTGTAGACCTCACACGTCCTTTTGAACGTAAAGTTCCCCAATTCGTAGCCGCCATTGTCGGTGATGTAAACTTTCCCGTGCAGAGCAGCCCCATAAGGGCAGTGTCTTGGCTCCCACATGTTAGCTGCCTTACTCCACGAGTTCCTGGTGAAATCGAATCTGTCCACATCAGTCAGAATCTTGTTAGCTCCTCGAATGTGACCGCCTAGAAGGTAAACAAACTTTTCACTGGCAACGAAGCAAATTCCATCTCTCGAACCCAAATCAAATGAAGATGTCTCTTGCCATAGGTTTGTTTCGGGTCTGTACCTCATTACAGAAGAAAGATGACTTTTTCCGCAACGCGGAGGGTGTTGAATCTCTTCGTGTTCGGTGCTCTCTAATGCGCGAGATGAACGCAGAGAAATGCAACCGAGACACGATATTCTGTCATCGATCATCAAGGCGAAAATTTCATCCTTACTGCTAATATAAACTTGCCGCATACTTTTCTTTTCGTTGTACGGCAGCGTTGTCCAACGGTGAGAGAACGAATCGTACCGCAATAGCTTATGATATACTTGATTAACAAAATAGAGCTGGCCACGGGAAGAGAAATAGATGGAACTTGGTGGTTTGCTTTCTCCTAATCCAGACCATTTATCTTGTCTCGGGAAATAGCTGAAGATTCTTTTATCTACGCAGACTGTTATAAGTGGAGTTTCTAGTGACTTTCTAGGCCATACTGAGGGTCTATGTGATTTCTTGGATTTCTTGATAGCATCTTTAACGAGTCGTAAACATTTTCTGTTGTCTCTTACGAGAGTACTTGTCGCAATGACCTTCCGGAGGTAGGTAACTGATACGTAAGCGAGTCTGACGTGACGAAATAACTCGTAAAAATACTGTTTTCGCTCTTTTCTGTTTCGCATAATCCATCTTAGAATGACTTTAAAAACGTCCTCTTCGGCTTGTATATTCGTCTCGTCACTTGAAATCCACATTTCCACTTCTTTGCTCGACATGTTAAAGAAGTCTTCCGTGGTTGCTACAGTGCTAAAATTTCGAAGAATGAATCTTTTTGTGTCGACAAGAAGTTCTTCGCATCGATATTTCTCTGCAAAATGATAAGTCGAAATACAATTTGACGTTTCCAGATTCTGAGCCAAGAACTCCCCGGCGATATTTTTTAACTGCTTGATTAGAAAGTAATCAGCCATTGAGACGAGGTCCCGAGCATCCTGTTCACTATGTATCTGAACAGTGCCGGAGTAAATAAAACTCAGTATTTTACCCCAAATTTGCTCTGTCAACATTTCTAGTCGAATTTTTCGCTCCTTGCGTTCTCTCATTTGGCTGCCGAGAAGCTTCTCGAAGAAAGGACTTGCCTTTGCGAGAACATGTCCATGCGTATCAAATTCTTTGCCATCCTTAACTACTACAGTAACATCACAAGGAAGACGAAATCGCTTTTGAGGATTTTGGAGGTCTGTTCCTCTGCTGAAACAACTACCAGTTTGTAACGGAGTTGCCATTTCGATCCAAATTAAGTTTTAAGGGTCCTTTTTAAATCTGAAAAGTGCTTCATGTAAAAAAAATGCGGTCAAGTGACATAGGATTTTGTTCTCATGTTTGTGTTGTCGAAAACCAACCTGTTATGCAAATATTATATTGTGACTGCATACTACGAAATTATCAAAAGCAAGCTAGGTTTGAACTAATGAATAATTAAACAAAAGTGTTTTCGTATTTCATCTATTCTTTAGTGTCCCATTTGTCCATGTTTAACAAAGTAACGTGCACTACAGTTTGAAACGAGTATGAAAACGGAACAGGTCTTAAATTCCTGAAGGTTCAAACTCTCAAAATCAAGGAAACAAATTAAATATGCAAAGGTGGTTTTGAATTGTAAAGTGGTAACAGGTAGTAACTGCTACAGCTTATATTGGTATCTTCGAGACTGACTTGAACATATCTTGTGGAAAACCATTTTCCACAAATCATTCGTGGTATATGGTTGCAATGAAAAAAGATAGATAGGGATGTTCACCCATTGTCAAAAATTCAATCAGACTGAACAAGAGGATACAAGAAGTAAGATGATGCAGGAGTATTTTTGTAAATTTATGATCATCTTAACTGCAATTTGTTTAGCTACATATGGATATAGTTTCTCTGAATTGGGGATTTAATATTTACCAAAACGGTGAGGTAATAAGAAAAAAGATGACTTTAACTCATTTAATCCTTCAACGATTACAATATTTTCGGTGTTTCTCGGAGGTGATTAGCAACGGATATTCGGAGTTTGAGTGGTCAACCAGAGCGCGCGCTTTCAACTCTATCGATTGATCAGTATTTTAGTTATACACTTTCCGGATACGAATAGAAAATAAGAAACAACGACAATCTTAAATGCAGAAGAAAACAGATTTATTGTTCGGTCCAACCTACAGTGACGGCTGACTTGGCTCGTTTAAGGCTCGTTCTAGACGTGTCGAGCACGTTTTAGAAGTATCGCACTGGTTACCCAAGCCAAATAAAAAAAAAAAAGGATCATTTAAATTATAAGAAATCATGCTCTAGATAGTAGACGTGGATTGAGAGATGCTTGTAACTAATTAAAGTTTTTATTTTGGTAAGCCGCTTCAAAAGAACTCTTCAAAAAACAAGCGGACTAGACATCACCGAAACTGTAAGGGGAAAAATTCTTCAAAATAATACTCAACCAGAAAACTGGCACCTTTTACGCGCGATACACGTGCGTGCCATTTGCAAACGAACTTACAAGTTGCGGAAAATGTGTCAGTACCAGTTCCTTTTAACACTGCTCAAGACCTGGTAACACATACGTCGTTTATTGAGCAGGCAGTTAGAGAAGTCACATTGTGTGTTTGGAGCGATAAGCGTCTAAATATCAAATGCCCATGCCAGAAAAGGCGATCAGAGGACTTTTGATAATTCCATTCATCATAACAACGTTATTCGGTCCGTTTTGTCTTTTTCCTTTGCGCCTCAGAGAACACCTGAAGCCATTTTATTTAGAAAAGCTCTTCGTCTGTCTTGATAATTTGCTTAGGCTTTGAAGGACTTTACACAGTGACGGGTTTCCATGAAAGACTAGTTCCTTTAAAAAGTCTAAGTTTACAGGAATTCACGAGGTACCAAGTATACATGCCTTGCTCCACAGGTATTTCGGTCACCTCGCTCCACTCGTCCTCTTCAGCATCATAACATTCGATCTTTCCTCTGAATCCTCTCTCGTTCCAAACATAACCATCTACTACATACAACTTATTATCGGCACAGATCATGCTTCCACGACGTCGTGGCATGCGACGGCTGGCTATGGAGTGCCATTTGTTGGTGTTTTCGTTGTACATTTCACAAGATGTTGAAACACAGATTTCCTTGGAGCCACCAGTGATAAAAATTTTTCCTTGAGAAGCGACTCCGTAAGCTCGTTCCCTCCCTTCTTGAATATCAGCTACTTTTTCCAACTTGTTTGTGCGTAAGTTATACCTGTTAACGACGGACAGAATCTCGTTTGTTTCTCGATTGATACCACCAATAAGATATATGTAATCAGCATTACTTATGAAGCATATTCCTTTCCTTGAACCCAAATCAAATGATGTTATCTGCTTCCAGCGGTTGGATTCATGGTCGTATTTGGTGATACAGGATAGATGTTGCTTGCCACAAGATACGACATTCACCATCCCTTCGAGGTGATGGCGGTCTGTCTTAGGAGGAGGCAGAGAAGCACAATCTGAGTAAGATGTTTCAATGTCGAGTTCCAATGAGTACATATCACCTTCATCACTGACAAAAAATTGCAGCAACTCTCGTGTTCCTTCTACCGACAAAGTCTTCCATTGATCAAAGTAGGGATCATATCGTAGCAGTGTGCGCTCGTGCTTGGATATGAAGTAAAGTTTTCCACGAGATGAAATTACTTGGTCACATATGGGTGAAGAATTGTGTGACTTAAACCACCTTTTTCTACATGGATAGTAACATAGCAGTTGCTCTGGTCCTTTTTGTATACAAGAAACTATAACCGTTGTCTCAAGCGACTTTCTAGGTGGTGCGAATAAGGTGTTTTCAGGATTCCCTCTATCAATTGAATTTATAATGTTCCTCACGAGTCTAAAGCAACTTTCACTTTCTCGCACAATGTCACTTGTCGCAATGTGATTGACAAGATAGTCACGGGATATATAGACTAATCTGACAAGAGAGAGTAATTCGGCAAAATATTCCATGCGCTCGTTAATATCACGCTCAACCCATGCAACAATGATGTGGTAAACATCTTCCTCGGCGTGAATGTTAATTTCATCGCTTGAGATCCATACTTTGATTGCCTCGATCGACAAGTTCAAAAACTCCTCCTCTTTTGCCACAGTAGTGAAATTTGAAATGATGAATCGCTTGGCGAAGGATAGCAGTTTCTCACTTCTGTACATTTGCGCAAAAGAGTAGGTTGATATGCAATTTGAAATGTTCAACTTACTTGTTAAATAGTCTTCGCATAATTTTTGTAATCCCTGTAGGAACAAATATTCAGCCACTGCGTATAAATGTTGGGCTTGATCTTCGGTCAATATCTGGAAATTTCCGCTGTAAACAAACTCCAAAACGTGTCGTAAGTCAGCCTCTGTAAGCATTTCTAATTGAATTACTCTTTCTGTACTCTCCCTCATATTACCGTTGAGCAGTTTGTCAAAGAATTCACTTGCTTTCGAAAGAACTTGCTTATGAGCATTGATTTCGATGCCATCTTCGACCACCAAAGTAATATCGAAAGGACCGTGACAATCAAGCGTTTCTTGAGGTATAGAGACGTGTTCATCGTCTTCATCATCACTGCTTACTTCCGCCATTAAGACTATATGACTTTCACGTCATTCGATTCCCACGAAACGTCGCAGATGTATTGTATTCGGAACGGATGCTCGAGCAACGAGGGAGCGTGTATTCCTTCAAACGGACTTTTCACGGAACTACAGGAAGTCGATCGCTAGAGGAGTCATCAAATCCCTTTTGTTTTCAAGTCATACGCATGCCACGGCACATGCATTTATTATCGATGACTTTTCAATCGTTGCGTGAATTACAACATGTCGCTCAATTGATGAAGTTAAAATTGGCATAATTATACACATTGTAACTAAGAGCAATAGGTGTGTTAGATTCGATCGGAGGCCCGAGCAAAGAAATCATTTGTATTTTTATCATTATTGTCATTGCTATTTTTACTGTTATTATCACCATTGATATTATTGTTTCATGTAATATTATCGATGACATGATGATAAGCAAGTAAAGTGTCTGTACTCTTTGTGACACAAAACTTTTTGCCGCCGATTTTAATATATATGCATATGTATATATGGATTTCTGAATATACCTAAGACCACACTGCAATCTCGCCGGAAATTACTAATAACTTGTTTCATTAATGTTACTTTGAGCCTTCGGGGAACAAATATCGATAGAGTTTTGATTCAGAAACTTTGCATTTCTACGGGTTGTGTAGCAGAAGAACTAGCAGAAATAAATTAACTGAACAATAACGGCGTCTTGCTGCTTCCTTTTATACCAGTTTGAAAAGAAATAAAGGATTTCAGTCGAAGAAAACAAATGATAATATTTGTTATCTCTAGCATTTGAAAGTAGACGCCTTTTTTTCATTGAAGCCGAAATAGGCGACTATTACCACAAGGTAGTTCATTTGATCCTAGAAGTCAGCGCACGTCATCGATAACGCGCTTCGGCCGGAAACAAAACCAAACGTCGCAGAACATGCATGAAAGGCCTGCAGGACCAAACAAAGCACGTTACTATCACTGTTAACATTACTTATTTATTTAAGAAAAACCTACGTTCATGTGACTCTATCTATCCTCTCAAAGGATAAATGAAAATGTAAAGGTACCAGCAAAATTGCAAAAAAGGTTTTCCTCTTCTGTCTTTTATAACGGCTGAAAATGAGATTTCTCGGAATACAAACGATCTCATCTTATTATCAGGAGTCAACTAAAACCATTACTAAGACGTGCTTTAACCGGAAACGAACTGAAACGTGTTGACCAGCGCCTCCTCTCAGCAGACAAACCGATTCAGCGACTGGCGTAGGTTCGAAGGCTTGTTTTATCTGCGCCCACTTGTTCAAAGGGCAGCCGGATAACACTAAATAACGTTTAAACCGCTATCCAGCAGTTCAGGGTCAACAAAACGTACGTGTCATCCCACGCAATTTATCCAGTGGATGGCGTTATCCACTTTTCGAACAACCGGGACCTAATTCATTAAAAATTTACCTTGTCATACAAAAAAGTGAAGACCATAAATTGTGCGGTATGATTGCGATAGAAACCGAATGAACAGAGTCCTAAAGACTTGCAAAAATATTATTTCCCGTACGATTTCAAAAAGAAACTTATATGCTTGCTACAAAATATATGCACCATGCTGTTTTTTCGTCCTGTAGGCGTGACCAAGATTCGTTCCAATTTCATTTCCGGTTTAAGCGCGTGTCAGAGATGGTGTTAATTGACTTCTGTTAGCAAACAGAGAGAGTGATATTTGCACTCATAGCTGTACATAAACAGGTAGAAGATAGCCAATAGCTAATCCATAAGGAGCCGTGCATTTTAATCCTTCCACATATTGATAATTACCCTCAAACTTAGGTAGGCCGTATTCTCAAACAAATAATCGAGGGAATGCTGTGTTTAGTCCTAACTGTAGGCGTTACATGTACTGTAATGTCGAGTGAGTCTCGCTTCCGGTTGAAGCGCGTCATATCATTGACGTGCTCTGACTCCTAGCGTCGAATAAACAAGCCTCTAATAAGATTTGTGAGTTGCCTTTTTCGGCTTTGTTGAAGAAAGGCGCCTGCTCGCACAAATTTAAAGTAAACACGTGATGTCATGTGTATTCCTAGAAATGTTTTTTCCAAACTGGCATAAAAGAAAGCAGAGACGAGCCTCGATAGTTAATTGATATCTATTACAGAGCTGAGGGGAACAAAGTCCTAACGCTAACAACATGCTCAAGGTAGTGGGACTCTTCGTCTTAATGGCCAGTGCTTTGTCGAAGGAATTAGACGGGAAACCATCTGGAGGAGGAACAGTTCAACAACGGCTCTTTAAACCCGAACATGACGAAGAAAGTAGATTTTCCGTCATCAAAGATGAAGAAGTAAACGCAAATGAAACGAAAAACGAATCAAGTCAAGGTGAAATCCGTTTAGTTTCATTGATAGAAACACTCTCACTTTTACAGCTAAAAATGATGGCTATTATCGTAACGGTTGCCAAATTCAATCGTAAATTTAGACCTAAATGCTTTACAAATGCTCAGTTAAAGTGAATTTTAGAAGTTTTGTCATAGATCATCTACTTCATCTTGAAAAGTTTAACGTGATGTTTTAACTGCGCCATGTGCAGTCCGTTGCTATCTATTTTGGCCACCCCTGACAATCATCGGTTATAGCGGGGGTGGGGAGGGTTGGTACCCATCTGTTGCCCCTACCCTTTCCTAGGTTCACCGAAAGGTTCTTTTCTAGCGTCTACTTAATTCATGATTTTAAAGGTCTAAATCCGCATGATATTGGTTTGTTTTCTCATACTTATGTTTATGTTTTATCTGCATGTTTTTTTCTAGTTCGTTGACGCAGGGAATAAGAATTACGTAAAATCCCAATCAAATGGAACATGAATATTCCCTCGTTATCTCTTGTTTTCTTTCCTTGGGAAAATTGAGGACGAATTAATGGCATGAGAACGTTTTGTACAGTTTGCCTGAGAGTAATTTATGGAAAATCTTCGTTATTGATTTTCTTAGGTGGTAACACATCAAAGATTCGTGCACGTCGCAGGTCATACCCTTGTGGTCAACGAAGGTACAACGCAAATTTTGATATGTGCTGTGATGGTAAAATCGTCTCCAGACGGGGTTTACAGCCAGCGTGCTGCAGAACGCAAGGGTACGACGCAAAGTTTGATATGTGCTGTGGTGGTAAAATCGTCTCCAGATCGGGTTTACGGCCAGCCTGCTGCAGAACGCAAGGATACGACGCAAAGTTTGATATGTGCTGTGGTGGTAAAATCGTCTCCAGATCGGGTTTACGGCCAGCCTGCTGCAGAACGCAAGGGTACGACGCAAAGTTTGATATGTGCTGTGGTGGTAAAATCGTCTCCAGATCGGGTTTACGGCCAGCCTGCTGCAGAACGCAAGGGTACGACGCAAAGTTTGATATGTGCTGCGGTGGCAATATAGTCTCCAGATCGGGTTTTCGACCGGCCTGCTGCGGAACTCGTGGGTATGACGCAAGTTTCAATAGCTGTTGCTCTGGTCGAGTTTGTTGACAATTTTTTCGACGAGTTTTACATTGTTTGAAGGTGACTGTAAATTCTTTTGTTGTTGATCGTGAATAGAAAATAAAGGCATTTTCAGAGAGACGGTATTCTGTTTTGCTTGATCTTTAGTTTGTTCAATAGATATCCTCAGTTTATCCAGGAATAGGGAAAGAATATCAAAATGGTATTCATGTTATTTACAAAGAATTATGCTTTTCTCAGTGGGCTTGCCATGTTTGCTACCATTGTGTGCAAAGAGTTTTTGTTGAGGAAAGATGAAACAACGATAGCAAATACTCAAACAAACAAATTATTTAATGTCGAATATTTTAAGGGAATGAAAAATAAATGAAATAAACAAACAAACAAACAAACAAAAAACTAAACAGATATATAGGTAAAAAATGCGCATAAAGCTCTACAAGATAATCTACAAGATAATCAACCGTTCAGACAGCTCATTTCAAAGGTACTAGGCCCTTGCTCCTTTCATTTCTTAATATTAAATCAAAAGCATGCGGTCGTTAAAACGAGGAACCCTTTACGTCTCCTCCATCTTCCATCATTTTTTCTTCCACCCTCAAAAAACTTGAGCAAGAAAATGAACAGCGGGATACCAATGGTTAGAGGGAGCGCTTCGGAAGCCTAGAAAATAGCTATTCCTTTGGCATTTTATACTTACTGCAATACTTGGTAGAATGTAATAGTAAGAAAGTTCCATGAGCTTACATCATATTACCCCAGTATGCATCTTGCAGGACTAAGCTTTCTAGAAATTTCCAGAAACAAGTCATGTAAGTGCATGATGTATAGCTGTTCTTCGAAACAATATACACGATCCTTGACCCACGCCCTCCAACCCACGACACACAGCAATAATCATACTCTTGTGCATCCCAGGTGAGATCCTTTTACACAAACCAAGCTTTGCTTTTAGATAACAACTTTCCGACACAAGTGTACAGAGACTAGGTTATGCATGAGCGCAGTTGAGATATAAAGACAACAAAATACAGTTCTTGCAAGAAAAACACAGCTAAGGATACAAATCACATTTCTAAGCACCAAGTGGCAGAGCAAATGTACTTTTTGCTAAAATCACTGTAAAGTGAGTTGACTCACTTGTGTCCTTTCCTACTTGTTATTGGTTTACTGTTTTTTATCATATGCCCCATGGAAGAGTGCTTAGCGAGCGCAACAAACGAGAATTACAAGACCTTACAAGTTCCAACCGGCCCTTTGAAACCGTTTAGGGCAAATGATAATTTGTTCGGCGTAACAGTTGTTAGAAAATTTAAATTTTTTTCCATATCAACCAGGGATATTCCCTTTTCGCTAGCGATATATTAAAGTGGGAATTTTCCTTATAACCCGGTTATAATGCATGATAAAATTGGCATAATTATACACATTGTAACTAAGAGCACTGAGTGTGTTAGATTCGATTGGAGGCCCGAGCAAAGTTATTGTCATTGCTATTTTTACTGTTATTATCATCATTGATATTGCTATTTCTT